GTGTTCATGAGAAAATACATGCACTCGTTTTGCTCCTTTGGCTGCCAGAACGTTTTGTTGGTGGTGAAGAGTCAAGCGGCAATCCTTCTCGTCCATATTATAAATTTTTGCTTCTTAATTTTTTAACTGAGTGCGCTGCAACAAATCTCCTAGTTTTTTGAAATGATCTTCTACGATAAAACGATTTAATTCTTGGGCCCTTGTTGGATTCATGAATTGAGATCGACGTTTTGATATTCTCGGATGATTTTTCAGAAAAGTCCTTACCCACTCCCTACCAGCGAGACGAGTTTCCAGATTGAAACAATGCTTAATTTTCTTTTGCTCAACATACCTGAACACAGACCTTCTTAATGCTTTTGGTGTTAGCGGAAAACCTTTATCGGCTAGCCGAATTATTTTATTCTCAAGGTCAGTCTTCATTATCGGTCAAAATTGTTTGTCTACCTAGTTTTCTCTTCACGCTTTGTGATTTAATGTGGTTCCTAAGTGTTCCTCTGGGTATTCCGCATTTTTTTTCCACCCAGCGCTGAGATTTTCCCTCGTTAATATAATTTAATGCCTCTCTCATCATCTCTTCATCCCAATTTGCCCTTATCCCTCTGCTTTTTTTACCCATCTTCTGTAAAAGAATAAATAAATCTAATGAATACGTGTATTCATGGCGGCAGAAAATAAAGCCCAAGCCTTTTTCAATGCATTGTAGAAAATAAGGCCCGGGCCTTATAACCTGTAGCACAATAAAATTAATTTTGAGGTTATTAAACAACAAACAAACCCAACATAAAAAGAAACGCTACGTAAAATGAAACTATTAGATACATAGATTATCATGCATACATAAAGATAAATCTACGTATTATTAAAACAATTTAATTTGCTTACTTACCGGTCGAAATTCTTATAAAATACAGCACAGCGAAACGTGACACCATAGAACAAGCCAGGAAGCTCATAACCATAGAACAAAATTACATTTCCGGCAACAGTAATACTAAATATTATTAACAGATGGCGATATAAATATTTTAGGCGCTTTCCTTTGGGCTAACCAGCATTGGGCCTTAATATCTGGTGGGCCTTATTACCCCCGGGTACCTTATATGAAATCACTTAGACTTATAACTAATAGAACATCTGAACAAATAAACAATGTGCTAATAAATGCGCGAAGTTAACAAAGCAACAATTCAAAGATTATCATTGGGTAACATCACCTTTATTTTTTATTACGGTTGAAATTCTTTAGGGCATACTGTTAAACAAGTTTTAGCAAAAATTTGGTGTAAAACAATCCCATATGTCTTGAAGCTTTTGTCTCAGTTCAGTGATTTTACGAGCAGGATGTTGTCGTAGAACCTTTTTCATCTCGTGCCAAAAAGTTTCAATAGGTGACAGATCTGGACTGCTAGGAACCCATTTCAAAAGTGGTACATTATTTTCTTCCATCCATTTTATAGCCTTTTTTGAGGTATGGCACGCTGCACCATCTTGCTGAAACACAAAATCTTGGCCGGATGTCAAACATTCTTCCATCACTGGTAAAAGCGATTCTTCTAAAATTGCCAAATATTTGTTTGTATCCATATTTCCATCAATAAAATGTAGTTTTCCTACTCCTTTCAATGACGTACTGCCACAGACCATAATGGATGCTGAAAATTTCACTTTTCTCTTCAGACAGTCAACATGGAATGCTTCATTTTTTTGCGAATAACTCTACTGCGACTGTCACCAACACAAACTTCGAATCGGGCCTCATCACTCCATTATATTGCACACTATTGTTGAGGTGTCCATTGTCTATGTTCTTTAGCCCATCTAAGCCGATTTTTCTTTTGCAGTGGAGTTAATAGTGGCTTTTCTTTGGCCTATAAACAAGTTGTGCAACTTTAGGGTTTTTACTTCATTTTTTTTTATAAGAAAACTTACCTTGCAAGTGCTAAATCCCAGTTTGTGGGCCTCTCTATGAGCTGTGGACCTCGAAATTCTCCTTCTAACAGCGTCACTCCATAGAGCACTTAATTGTAAATAATTGGCACGCCTGTTTTTCACGATTATTCTTCTTAATGCTCTTCGGTCGGCATTTGTGATATTACTTTTTTTCACATATCGTGGCTTAATATTAACTGAACCAGTTACGTTATACCTTCTAACAATATTTCTCACAATGTACTGCAATAAGTCTAACAAAGTTGCAATTTCTGAGTTTGATTTCCCAGAATTAAAAAATTTAATTATCAGTAACCGAATTTTCTCACTAATAACCTTTCCTCCACCCATTTTGAAAACCTTAACTACCCAAAACTATTTTAAACGTATTCTGACAGCTTTGATTAATAAAAACAATTTTCATGGCTTTTATTTTTCACAGCCACCTATGCATTATAGACTTATTTTGCATTGAAATGAAAATAGGTTGATATGCTGAAATTGCAACATGTGTTATTTTTATGCTGCAAATTTGATTAGGGAGTGATAAAGTTGGTGTTTTCTACTATATATTATCAAAATATTCATTGTTAATGTTTTAAACCTATAACACCCTGCTACGTTTTTATTATTTGTGTTTGATAAGAAAAAAACTAAGATTTCAATAGTTGACCAATCCCGATCATGGTATAACCGAATCCTGACAGGGTTGTCATGTTGTCATTATAGTCGGCAATTTCATATTAGTATTCCTAAACTACCAAACTGATATAAGAATTCCTTGCCTATCACCATATAGTGTCCATGGTGTTACATTCATAGTCCCGCTACTCTTCGTCCATCTCAATATATATTTTTTAGTTCTTACTAGTTTTAGATCATACACTTTTTTAAAATAGGCAGGTTAATTCATTTTTGTAATCTGGCAACTGCGGCTTCAATTTTGATCTTGAGATAATAAATCATTGTACTGAAGATCACATTTGTGATTATGATGTTTACAATAGGTGTGGCTTTATTATCCAAACAAGCATGGGGGCTAACTAATAATATATATTCTTACTCTAACTACTTTACGTGGGAAGATTATCTCCCATAGTATCTTTGTGAATCAGTCCGTGTTCATTCAATTTGCGCGAAACATGACAGCTTGATCAATGGAAGGTTTACTAAATAGTAAAGTGATTCACTGCAACAATTCTTCTTATTCAAACATGCGTAAACGTAGGAAATCAACTTGTTTAACTTATTTGGTATTGACCGTAGTAGACAGTCTGATTACCGCTGGCGATGGCATCATTTCCCATTAGGTGAATCAAGACGGCTGTTGTTATGATGTCACTAAGTGTCATTGTCTCCTGGATGGATGTTGTCTAAATATAGCTGTGATGTCTTCAGGTCAAGATTTTTCGCATATATACTAAGTGACATATAAATCCGAACACCCAGTTTAAATGGTTTTATTTTAATAAAATTTTGTATAATTACTTAATGAAGCATAATAAGTAAATGATAAAAATTTCAAAATGATTGCACTGCTTTAAAGCCCTCTGACCTTTAATAATGTGTGGATGCACAATGATGTCCTACGCATTCTCCAACGCGCCTAGGCATGCTTCTGATCAGGTGGTCAATGTCCTCCTGTGGTATCTCATTCCAGGCAACCACCAACTCATCTCGAAGTGCTTCTAGAGTCTGAGGAGGACGTTGCAAATTGAGCAATCTCCTACCCATCATATCCCACACGTGCTCAATTGGGGATAAGTCGGGAGATCTTGGTGGCCATGGTAACAATGTGACATAATTATGTTGAAAGAAGTCTATTGTGACTCTTGCAACATGTGGTCGGGCATTATCTTGTTGGAAAGTTGGATCTGCCAGGGTGTCAAGATAGGGTAAAAGATGGGGTTCTAGAACTTCGTGGTTATAACGCTGCGCGTTCATGTCCCCTCTAATGAAGATTAAAGGTGACCTAGAACCATAAGCTATAGCACCCCAAACCATAACTCCAACAGTGTGATGAACATGTCTTTCAACAAAAAACTGTGGATTCGTCCTTTCACCACGTCGCCTTCTAACCCTGGCACAACCATCGTGCATGCCTAAACAGAATCGAGACTCGTCACTAAAGACAATACTGTTCCGTTCCTGATCCCAGAGTGACCGTTGTCTGCACCACTCAAGGCGATTACGTCGGTGTTCTCGAGTTAAAGGGAGGACCCAGTGTGGCCGGTATGAAAACAAGCCAAAACTTCTCATTCGTCGGTAAACACTTCGCATGCCAATAGGTCTTCCGTGTTCTGCAAACCATCCATTTGCAAAGGACCTGGTAGTGGAGAAACGGTCCCTTAAGGCCAATAATCTTAGGCGGCGATCTTCACGGTCTGTTGTTCTACGGCGGCGTCCAGTGCCCCTTGCTCTTTGCGTACGGCCTTCTCGAAGCCATGCCTGACAACACCTAACCACAGTGTCTACACTTCTTTGCACTCTAACTGCAATTGCCCGAAAAGAAAGTCCAGCTTCCCGAAGTCCCACTATACGGCCCCTAACAAACTCACTAAGTTCACGAAATCGTACAGGTCTCCGTACTCTAGGCATCGTAACCGATCGTAAAGGATGTCAAGAACCAAAATCCGCCAACGTTGATTCTTTGCTGCGACTGAAATATTCATTTTTAGAGCGTTAGTGAATTAAAATAAAGCAGTATAAAAACCGGAATGTCCAACTGATAAGGCTGAAAATTTTTTAACTTGTTATTTACAGTAAGATAAATACATTCACCAACTTTTATTAAAACAAAACCATTTAAACTGGGTGTTCGGATTTATATGTCACTTAGTATATTTACGAATCGTATTTTCGGAAAAGCTTTCAGATGGTTATGCTTAGTGACAGATTGATATAATGTCCCGGCTTTTCGTTTCCTCTTCAAAAGCTACGAGAACTAGGACCACATATTTTGCGGGTAAGGAACTTTACTGACGTTTCGGATACCATACACGCGAATTGGTGAGGAGGTGTTGTACGAGGATGCCATTTAAGTTTTGCATATGGAAATAAAACAAGACGGTAGGTAGTTTTAAATGACTTTATTGTATTTCGAAGCATTCTCCACGAAGATTAATACACATCTGCATGCGCTCGAACCAATTTTCGAAGCACTTATTCCACTCGTTTGCTGGCAGATTCAAAACGGCATTTTTTAATGCGTCAACTGCTTCTTCTGGTGACTGGAACCTTTGATCACGCAGTCTGTTTTTAATTTTCGGGAAAGTAAAGAAATCGTTAGGACTTAGATCGGGACTATATGGTGGATGGTCCAGTAATTCCACGTTTTCTTCCGTTAAATACTGCCTTGTTTTTTGGGCTGTGTTCTAGCTTGCATTATCTTGGTGGAGGATAATTCTGCTTTCAGGATTGATTTTTCGAAGCTCGGTGATGACTTTTGACAAACAAATGGTGGTATACCAATCCGCAGTAATAGTTCTTTGCTCATTAAGAGGAATGGTTGCAATATAACCAACGGAAAATTGTCGAATGATGTGGCGCTTCGTTGCCGAAAACAGACAGTAACTCAGCAAGGCATTCTTGTTGCGATAATTGTCTCTGAAAGTTGTAATAAATTATGGCGCAAAAATGTTCTCGGTTCAGTTCCATTTTTCTAATGACTTGGTGACACTTAATAATCCACTGTAGTGAGCACACTGCACGTATTGTTGTGAAACTTTGAATTTAAGTTTACTAAAGAGTGAGGTTAAGATTCAGTACTGACGTTCGATCCACGCGGCCTACTATGTTTCTATATGCAAAACTTGAAAGACATCCCTCGTAGGCATACAATCATGTATACTTTATCTGAAGTCACTTGAAATAGCATAAAAACCTTTGGTCGGCGCGTCCTTTGTAATTTCATGACGTATCATAGGCGTGCGGTCATTTATTTAGAACGATAATAATAATGTTTTTATATCACAATAAATGGATTTTACTATCTTCTTATTTTTTTGATTTGGGATAAAAAATACTTATATTGGGAGTTTAATTTATGTTGACTGAAAGTTGAGAAATGGAAAAATTACAGAATTCCAACGTTTGACATAGGCAAATATTTACATAGCAGGTAGGTATATAAAAAGGTATATAAAGACTTACATTATAGGTATTTATATATCATCCTCGCCTTCGGAGCTGTCGCTAGAGTCATCTTGTAGAGGAATTACAACGGGATTTACAGGAGGCAAAACACAATATTCATTTTCTTTTTCAATAATATGCCTAGAACACTGCTTCCATAGGTCTGTGGCAGCAATATGAGATACTGCATCTCTTATTGTGGCCAATAGCGATTCACTTAATTGAGGGGTCTGATTATGTTTTCTTACTTTTTTTTTAAGCAGCCCAGACCAACTCAATCGGGTTAAAAATGCAGTAATAGGGAGGTAGACGTAATACTTCATGGCCATTTTGCTGAAGCAGATTGTCAACAACATACTCTTTTTCAAATTTTTGTCTTTTAATAAGATCCAATAATATGGCTTTGGTTGATTTTTGTGGTATTTCCATTCCCTTATCCTTCATAAAATCAATAATGTCTTGTTTTTTTGTGCCTGTATTCGGAATTTTGTTTTTCTGCCGGGAATGGTATGGCGCATTGTCCATAATAATCACTGAATTTGGGGAAATGTTTGGTATTAACTGCTGCTCTATCCACTTTTCAAATAAGTCGGAGGTCATGTCCTCATGATAGTCGGCACACGATTCTTTGATATTTTTGGCAGATAACAGCAAGGCATTAGGTATAAATCCATTTTCACTGCCAGCATGGAGAATAATGATTCGTTTTCCACGGTTGCATAATGCATTTAAAATGCACTTGTTGCTGTCGTCAACCCAGCCGTACTGCACAACATCATGGGTATCATACCACGTTTCATCCAGGTAAATCAGATTTCTTTTCTGCTCTCTATAGATTTTAACTTTGTGCAAAAATTCTTGGCGCAGTTCAACAATTCGAGGCGACTCCATAATCACCATTCTTTTATCTAATTTTTTGTATTGAAAACCACACAGTTTTACAATACAGTGCAGTGAGTCTAAGCATTTGTAATTATAAAAATCTTCAGGATAATCTTTTAATTTATCCCGTATCATTTCCAACGTGGGCACCAAATTTTCTTTATAAAATCCGTATATTATACGACGAATATCTTCCTGAAAACCCACGTCTATTCTTTTTAATTTTTGCCCTATGCGCTTTCTGTGGAAGGAATGGTTGACTACATTTCCCCTTTTTATAACCCGATAAATGGTAGACAAATTCCTGTTTAAAATTTGATTTTGCGAGGAATCTGGATTTTCGTTTTTCAGACAATCATACATATTTAGGATTACTCTTTGGGTCTGTTCCTCTAAATCTTTATGAAAGAATTCTGCCTGCACAGGTTCATCAACCATCTCCTCGTGGCTTGGAGCATTTTCCCAAGGTCTCCAAAGAGCCATATTTAGGACACACAAGAACAATCAACACAACAATTAAATCAACAAGTTAACTGAGTATTCAAAATTCAAAAACACACAAACTAATAAAATCTATGAAAAAACACGGACAGACTAAAGAAAACACGTTTATTCACCGCTACACGGCACTGGCTAAACTGTTTCAATTTTCAGTAGCCACCTGCACTTGTTCGGAGCTCTGAAATACACGCTTTCTCATTGGCTATGTCCACGCATAGGCGTGCTTTACTCCACGTGGACCGGTGAAACTGCCTTTGATCTTATACGGGGGATATTTGCTGCGAAATTTGGCGATTTTTGCAGCAACAGAGCGTGTTAAATATAGATATATAAAACGCACCCGGTATTTCACAGTGTTTCAAGTGACTTCAGATAAAGTATACAGTATATGTAAAAATATCATATATTCAAATCAGTATTAGCTTTAGTTTTAGTACAGTTCGGTGTAAGAATAGCTTCGCTTAGATCCGCCAATAAAGCCGTTTATTATTATCATCTTCTAGTCACATATCCTTGTATAATTGTTTTGAAGAAATTGGAGATCGCCTGGCGTCAAGGTCATTGATCCTGACCTTAGCAGGTTTGTTATGAAAAAGATTACAGTCCAACACACTTATGCCATAAGATGAATAACCGCTGAACAATTTATAGCATGATATTTTTATTTTTAATTGAAATCGTAAGAATCACGTCGAATGCATTTAGCGGCTGAGTATACTTTTTGACGATGTAAGAATCAAGGTGAACCAGTATCCAGTGTGCACAAATAATTGTTATTGACGTCTGGCACTGACTCACTGTTTGTTGTTGCTATTATTACATCTTATCTAGGTATGCCCAGTTCAGATAGGGCTGTAGATACGGGGTAACAATATTACATGAATTTGTTTACAGATGTTTGGAATAGCATATTATGATAATCGTTCTGCTTTATCTGTCGTGCTTTTAACTGACAATAGTTGAAAGCACACTTAAAAAAGATATTTTCGATTGATGATACGGGACTGTTTTTTCATAAAACAAACAACGCGGTGCCTCTAAGGTTTCTAAACCTGTCAAGTCAAAAAAGCAATGTTAGATTAATCAAAAAACCAAAATAATGTAATTTAACGATGATATTAACCCTGAATTGTATCAAACTGCACTTAGGATTGGTTACCTATGAGCTAAAGAAACGTACAATTCCAAGATCCACGGGTTGCCGGACATTTCTTTTTTCTAAAAGACAAAAATAGCGATTCTCTTCATTAAACACTTTACTTTATAATCGTCATTTCTATGCTTGCAAAGAAAAGATGGTGCATCGTGAATGTACCATCCTTTTGCGTTCACACACAACATAGGCTAAATAACTAGCTTTCGCAGGGTTGTTACTCTTTTGAAAAGCTAGCTTTACGTGTTGCCTAAATAGCAAGACGCTTGAGCTGTCATGGTGCGTCTCTGATGTGTTGTAATATCTGCTTCAGAGATGGCATTGTTTGAGGTCTAAGCTGTAAGCATCCCACAAACCGGCGCGAAATAATCGCGGCGAAGTATTCGCAACGAAATTCAGAGCGAAATTCGCAATCTGTTTCGCCTGTTTATTCATACCAAAGCGTCTTATTCGCACCGCGAACGTGAAGGTTTCGACAGGTTGCGTACATTTTATTTTTGCCTTTTGCAATGAGCTCGTCTTCAGAAGAAGAGGAGGCACTTCTATTTCTTGCTTTAGAAGAGGAACAAAATGCACGGTAAGTTATGTTTATTTAACGCCATTTTATAGTTGGGTATGTATTAAGTTTAACGAAGTACATAAAACAAATATTTTCAATTTTGTTTAGGAAACGAAGGAAGTGGGTACATGATATTAATTTGGAACGAAATAAATTTGGGGAATACCATACCTTGATGCCACAACTTCGGCTGGATGAACAGCGCTTTTACGTATATTTTAGAATGACTCCAGAGTGTTTCGATGAAATATTGAACTTGGTGAAAGATGAAATACGAAAATCTGACACAAATTATCGTGAAGCTATTTCGCCAGAAGAACGACTTGCTATTACACTCAGGTAAAAAAATTATATGTATTAAAATTAGTAGGCTTATCGAATACGAAAACTTCAGGGATCGTGAAATAAATATTTTATTGTAATAATTGGACTACATGTTGCCACTAGGATTAAATGTTGCTAAATAATTCGAGGCAGAATTTGCCTCCTCTGTTGGGTATATTATTGGAGTAAACCCAGTGCCCCTTGGGAAGGACCATATACTACTATCATACATACTTGCAGAATTCTGGGTAGACGCTGAAGACATTTCTTCAATATGTTCAAATTCTTCGTGCGCTATTAATTCGGCTATTTTTAGTTTTATTCGGGCTTGACGCTTTAAGGGAAGTGTTTTCACAGTCTGTGCATGTGCCAAGACAAGTGAATCAATGGCCTCGTTCTCTTTTTTAGGTTTTTTACCTTCAAAATAATTGAGCTGTTGTACAGACGAAGATGGTGGTTCATAGCGTTTTCTGCTCGTTTTATATTTTGGTGTAGTTGCAGTCTGCGGAAAGGTGTGCCCTGGAGTAGTCACTGCTGTAGTGTTCAATGAAGAAGGTGGTGCTGTGTTGCCGAGGCGTTCTGTGCATCTTCTGCATCTACATCAGCATTTTCATCTTCTCCATGGCCGCGGTCTTCCAAATTTTCGGTTTCTACATTTCCAGCCCTTTCCTGATATATATTTGAGTTAAATTCGGCAGTCTCATAATGTATGACGTCAATATCTTTCACATTAGACGACGTTTTGGCAAATTCCAAAAAAGGACGGAAAAATTCCATGTAGTCAGCCCACTGCCATTTCTTTATGTTGCCCACTGCTTGGCCGGTCTTTGGTTTGGTAGATTTTATATATTTTGCAAATGTGTCTCTGATATTCTTCCACCTTTTTTTTACTTCATCACCTAAAAACGATTTTTTTTATAGATTCCTTGCCACTGGTGACACCTTCTATACCATTGGGCATAGCTTTCGATTTGGCTTTACAACAGTGAGTGCAATCGTAACCGAAGTCTGTGAAGCGATATGCAGACATATGGAACATATATATATATATATATATATATATATACCAGAACCAACAGAGAATATATGGAAAAAATGTGCTGAAGAATTTGAGAATAGATGGGGATTTCCCAATTGCATTGGCAGCGTGGACGGTAAACATGTAACAATCAAGAGATCTAACAACAGTGGCTCCAATTACTGGTGCTATTTACATAAATATTCAATAGTACTTATGGCCATTGTTGGCCCGGACTATAAATTTATATGTGTTGATATTGGTGGTTTCGGAAAAAATAGTGATGGGGGTATTTTCGAAACCTCAAACATGGGAAAACGATTTGAACAAAATTTAATGAGTGTCCCTGCACCTAGATTTCTCCCTGGGCAAAATGAAATCTGCTCGTACGTCTTAATTGGTGATGAAGCATTTGCTTTAAAACCATACCTTATGAGACCATTTCCTTATAAGCAGACTTTAACAGACGTCAGAAAAGAGAAATACAATGTAAGACTTTGTCGAGCTAGAAGGGTCGTGGAAAATGCGTTTGGTATTTTGTCTCAAAAATGGCGAATATTTTGCAGGCCATTAGAAACTAAAGTAGATACTACTATTCTAATTGTACGTACGGCATGTGTTTTACACAATTTTTTACGAAGTAAAAGTGGCGATGACAAATATTTTCAATTCTTAGATCCCACAGAACCCGTGCTTGGAGCTTTTACTGATATAGCAAATGATCCTCTTCGGGCAGCAAGGCTAGCATTTTCTACTCGTGACAAATTCGTAAATTATTTTAATTCTGATATGCCGATGCCCAATATATAGAATGTTCGTTTTCACATTTGTGTAGACTGTAAATTATTTAACAAGGTAATAAAAAATATTAGGTACATACCATTTGTATTTCATTCTTTTCCTATTTCCATCCAAATCTTGTCTTTCTTTCTCACATTCCTGTATTCATCGTTCGACAAATCATACAAACAAGGATACTTTTTCACTATTTCTATCAATAATTCCGTTTTTGCCATTGCGAATTTTTGAAGAACGGCGTCAAAAACGCGTTCAAAGGCGAACTGAAATACGCCGCGATAAAAACGCTGGAACAATCGCATTCGCTTCGCACAAGTCTGAGCCTGTCCGCAAACCGCCGCGTTTTAATCTGATCGCGAATTCATCGCCGCGAAATTTTCGCAGCCAAAGCGAATATTTCGCGCCGGTTTGTGGGATGCTGTATACTATAGCCGGTAGGAAACTGACGAAACGGCAGTGCACAGCATAGGTGCTTAGTGAGGAATTGTGTTTATTTGCACACTAGGGACTATCTTGTCCCTAAGTTGACGTTTTGTCGATTTTTTTTAACATTATATAGGTTTTTTACGTAACAACGCTGCTGGACTTATGTTTTACATAGGAACATATGGAGATACTTCACTCAAGCATTATTTCTGATCTCATTTTAAATATTCCCTTGGTTTTCCCTCTTTGGATTTATCACTATCGATGATCATCGATATTCAAAGCCCTTGGCACCAATAAACAGAAATTATTTTTAATTGTAAATATTGACACAAAGCGTCATACCAAATGCAGGGTCATAGGAAGTGTGAAACACTGTGCGGAAAATCGCAATTCACAGGAGACGCTCTGCTGTTCATAAATAGCGTGTGTGCAGTGTTATTGGAGAAAATAAATGATGATTTAAATATTTTCCGTTACGTTGGCTACCAGGAATTATAGCAATTAATATACTCAGACGTACGTAGGATGGTTATTGGTCGTAAAAGGACTGCTTTAATGCACGTGGATATACAAGGTGTTTCCTAATTGAATGTCAATATTTAAGGCCCGTATCGTCAGTCGTCTCTACAATTGTAGGGCGCGTTTATGGCCTCCTTGATTGTCATAGTTTTCTACTTCTCCGTGTCAGAGCTCTATTTTGAGGTTATGTCACAAACATCTATTTGCATCAAATTGTGCTTGCTTTTGAGTTATATCATGTTTTATCAGCCTGAAATTTTCTACAATCTAAAAGGAAAACATATCTTAACAATAGGAGAGCGCTGACACTGACACGGGACGAGTGTAATCTAGAAATGTTTGAAGGAGAAAAAAGAGTATGACAATCAAGGAGGCCATAAACGCACCCTACAATTGTAGGGATGACTGACGATACGGGCCTAAGAGGGCGATTTTTGGGACCATTTCAAGAAAAAAACTTCACATGAACGTAAAATAATAATAAGAATAATAGTAATGATAATAATACATCTATTGGATACGCATGTACAAACAAATAACATGCAACAACGAACAAATTAAGATGAGTGATAAAAATACAATTTAAAAATTGACAAAATCACTATTTGCATAAAAACAGTTAAAGATTTGAACCGGCATATTGAAGTAATAATAATAATAATAATAATAGTAATAATGATAATGTATTAGTCCTGTTTGATCACAGATGTGATATAGGATAGCTGAAAGTTACGCACAAATACGTATACTGCATACATTACTAGTATTGAGAAATCAAAACTATTATGGGTATAAATTATAAGTATTAAAAATGTAAGAATATATATAAAAAGATGAAATAACTGACAAACAATAAAAATAGTGTAGCGTTTTTCTGGGTTCTTCTGGGTGTGGATTAAAACACTGAATTGCACAAAAAGAAATACACTAATTTATTTAACTTGACTAGATAGAACATTTATGTACCCAACTATATATGTCTGACTAATTCTTATGTCGCGCCATTGACTGGACTATACTCCACTCTGCTCTACTCTGATCCCCTCTCCCGGCCGTCGAGTTATATAGTCCGCATCGTTGGGTCTGGTGAGCCACAAAACGGCATTCCAGAATAGTCGAGGTCACTTCGCGTCGATCTAGAAGGCGAGTCACTGGCACGGTCCTCAACAGATGTCGCCAAGCGGCATGTGCGGCCGTAGTCCGCGTAAAAACAGATCGGCCATGGAGCTCTGGAGAGTAGGAGAGTCTCCCAACAGATGGCGCCAACAGAACTATTCATTATTGTTACAATATATAATTAAACAAGACATTAACACGTTCGAAATTCCTCAACAGAGTGAAAAGCTTCTTCCAGTAAAATATGGAGTAAGGCAGGTTGTTAAAAATGTGTGGTCCTAAAATACATGTGATCTGCTGCCTAACTTGTAACGCGTAAAAAATATATAGATGCCATTTTGTCTGCTAGTGCCAACTTGATGTATCAGACTACTTAAGGTGAAATCCCCTTTGTTTAAAAAAGTATAGCCATTTAGGGAGTGTCATTATCTATGTAGGTATGTCTTAACTTTTGAGATGCAGGATGGTAAAGTTTTCAAAATTATTTCATTTATTATTAATATCTGTAATAACTAATTTTGATAGTTTAATGAAATTTGTACTATGCATTTTTTAATAAACTGTATTTTTTGTGGCGTTCATAAGGTATTTCACCTGGCTATTTTGGCAGACACTGGTGGAACGCTACTGATTTCTCTTGGATTAATTTTTTTTTGAGATCTCCAATCGTCTCTACGCAAACCTGATCGCTTGTTTTTTTTCGATCCGATGCACGGTTTTCGCTCAAACTTACTTGGCGCCATTTTTTGACCTAATTGAAACAGTTGAAAAATCCGTAGTTTCTGAAGTATTTAAGCAACTAGGTATGCGCTAGGTTCAGCTCAATTTAGTTGCTGCTACGTCTATTGTGTGAGGGTGTGCGGTCTGCTTTTAGGGGAAAAAGTTACCTTCACCTGTCGCGCTATTCCCACGTTAACAATTAGCAGTTTATTCTGTCTGCTTAAATATAAGCGCACAAAGTTTGAAAATGTCGATTTTTAAGTAGAATGCTGCAGCTGTGTAGCACTTGTATTACCTCCTAATTACAAAAAAATGTGCATTTCTGGGTAGGTTTACGAATAAAAACATCGATTAATTTCTTCATCGAGTGGGAGGCCGATTGCCATATTCTCTTAATTGTGTGTTTCTATATAAGCCATGCATACTATTAAAATAATAAAATATAAAAGGCGTATTCTTCAATTTTGCGCATTTTTTCATCGTATCAGCTAACGCGTACTCGTAGACTTTTGTAGAAAACAGTGCTGAAGCGAATATGAGTTACCGACACAGAGGTATAGTGAAAATTTAGTGTTGCCAATGCTGTATTTCAGTGCTTTTAATTTCCACGGAAGGAAGTAGTGCAATAGTGAAAAATTTCGAAATCGGGTGTTTGGATGTTAGGTATATGATATGTAACGTAGATACTCTCTGTCGATTTGTCGTCGGTCTGGTAAACCTTGGTGCCTATATAACTCGGAAAATACTACTTGCACGGTGATGAAATTTTTATAAAGGGTTGAAAATCTTTGGCTAAAACTAAATTTCTTCTTAACGAATCTGGTCTCGTTTATTATGTCCATCCTTAATTATAAGTGAACATTTGCGCAAAGCTGTCTGGTTTTGAGGTACTAAAAATCAGTTTTCGTTATCAGTTGTTGCAGTACGCAAGGATTATAAAAAAATATTCAGTTTTTCTTCAGTTTTATCTCGGAAACGAGGCATTGGGGAACTAACTGCTGGTGGAGTTATAAGCGAAAAATGTCAGGCTTCGTTTTTTAAAATTGAAATTTAATTGCATGCATCTCAACTTTCTGATTAGTTTAAGGAATTTTAAATTCCAGAATTTTCATATTCTAACGAAAACACCGTTTTTACTATACAGGATGATAGCCCAACGAAAAGGTCGCACCCCTTTTAGTGACTCTCCTGGTATATTTTGGGAAAAACGTATAATACAGGGTGATCCGAAAAAACGATATTGCGTTACACGTTAGATTTTTAAGTGGAAACCCCTATTTTTTTAATATTTGGATTTTCCATAAAGTTTTTAGTAGCTTTTTTACAATAAAATTTGTACCAATCTTCAATCGTGGTGAAGCTATTAGAGGGTATAATAAAAATCTAGAAATTGTGATAATAAGGGACTATATCGTGAAAATAATAATCACCATGTACGGCTATACAGGGTGTTTCAGTTTATTGTTGCATAACTTTAAGATTCGATAGAAATTTTAAAATTAATGCATAAAGTCTATATAAACATGGGTCGAAAAATGCGTGGCTTCCGAAATACAGGGTGTTTAAATTTACTATCTAAAATAGTTTTTTTATATATTTTGAACAATATTCGATGTATAACAGTGAAAATTGGTATACAAGGGTTTTTTGGTACGACAAAACGAACCATGGGCATAGTTTTACTGTAGCCGCTAGAGGGCGCTCTCTACTGTACCTGTAGTGTATTAAAATGACCGAAAAAAATTTCATAGTGCAATATTTTGCTTTTTGAATAAAAAACTGATTCTCCGCACTTTTCAACATAAAAAAGCTCTCTTGTGAATTTTCTTTATAGTTAGCCGTTTTTGAGATATTTCGATTTTTAAGGTTCGATGCATTTTTAATTATTCATGGTAAAATAACGTTAAAAAGTCAGTATCTCGATAATTTTTGGAAGTGGGCTGTGCCTGCAAATGTTTTTGAAATTGAAAGCAGAATAAGGTTAAACGTCAATTAGTTGACAGTTAGTTTTGTTGTCTCTTGAAACCTGAAACGTTTTTTTGCAATTGTGAATGCACGAAATTTAGTTTCTTTTACCTGTTTTTTTTTGTAAGTTTTATAAAAATGCCATTTTTATTCTCCAATCAAGAGTTAGCGGATATTCATTTTGTGTATGGCTTTGTAAATGGAAACGCAGCAGAAGCAGCCAGAGAATACGCACGAAGATTTCCAAACAGACGACATCCAACTCGCTCAGTATTTGTAAGGGTGCATCGCCAAATAATTGAAAATGGTTTTGGAAATCTTCAAAGGGATCAAAACATAAATGTTCGTCAGCGCAGATTTACCCGTATGATTCTGCGTGAGTTTGATAGAGATCCGACCACAAGTGTTAGGAGAGTTTCTGGTGCCTTGGGAATTTCAGCAAGCCATGTTCACCGTGTTCTTAGAAATGACCATAGACGTCATTACCATTTGCGACCTGTGCAAGGACTACAGCCAGGGAACGGAGAACGAAGAAGCACATTTTGTCAGTGGATTCTTGATAGAACTGATAATAATAGGGAGTTTTTAAGTAACGTTTTATGGGCCGATGAGTCATGCTTCACTAGATGTGGAGTGGTAAATTTTCATAATCAACATATTTGGTCGCATGAAAATCCGCATGCAGTTCGGGAAAGAAATTTTCAGCATGAATTCAGTGTGAACGTGTGGATTGGTATCTACCGTAATCGACTATTTGGACCCTACCTTTTGCCTGCAATGTTAAATGCTTGGAATTTTTAAAGGCTGAACATGCAAATATGTGGGATGACGTTATTTTAGATTTAAGAAGATTGGCCTGGTTCCAGCTTGATGCTTGTCCAGCTCATTATTCGAGAATAGTTATAAACTGGCTGGACGAAAATTTTCCAGAAAGATGGATCGGCCGTGGAGGACCAGTCGCCTGGGCTCCATGATCACCTGTCCTAAATCCATTAGATTTCTTTGTGTGGGGATTTCTAAAAAAAAAAGTGTACCAGACTCCCGTAACCACAAGAGATATGCTAATAGACAGAATCAGGAATGCATGTGATGAAATAAGGCCTTATTTGAATAATGCTATTATACCACGTTCGATCATTCGTAGATGTGAATTGTGTATTGAACAATTGGGTTTACATTTCGAGCAACTACTTTAGATTTTGCATGTTTGTCCTAACTATCCAATAGCATTTTAGTTGTAAATAATTAATTTAATTTGTTAAAAATAATATTGGAAAATTAAACAAATTAATATACTGTATTTTTGTGTTTATTTGGAGTTAGGAATTATTGCTATGTTTAAAAACACAATCTAAACGATCATCTTAATTACTTGTAATGCCCAAATCTAAAATGTAAAAAAAATATTATTTTCCCATAAATAATTAAAAATGCATCGAACCTTAAAAATCGAAATATCTCAAAAACGGCTAACTATAACGAAAACTCACAGGAGAGCTTTTTTATGCAGAAAAGTGCGAAGAATCAGTTTTTTTATTCAAAAAGCAAAAAATTGCACTAAGAAAAATTTTTCGGTCATTTTAATACACTACAGGTACAGTAGAGAGCGCCCTCTAGCGGCTACAGTAAAACTATGCTCATGGTTCGTTTTGTCGTACCAAAAAACCCTTGTGTACCAATTTTCACTGTTATACATCAAATATTGTTCGGAATATTTAAAAAAAACTATTTTAGAAAGTAAATTTAAACACCCTGTATATATACCAGAACAGTCACAAATGGAGGTGCGACCCTTTCATTGGACCGCCCTGTATAAGGTCTAATTAATTTTTTATTACAAATTTAAGTCTGTGTCGACTGGACTATGACATTCCGCGCTGTTGACTCATCATCCGCTGTCGCCCAACTCTTTCCGTCCGCAAGGGTATCACGTATCTTGAAAAGTGTTACGAGGGTTGTTGCTCAGAGTTCCAGTTACCAAGGCTTTACAATATTTCTCTTGTTACGAATGATACTCAGAGTTTTTGTATACCCAAAATTTGACATAGATATACAGGGTGTCCCAGAAGTCGACGCCATGCTGGAAACGGGGGATAGGCCAAGTCAAAATATTTATCACCACAATATAAAAAAATCTAAGTCGTTTACTTTTCAAATTATAGGCTTAAATTTATTGTTTCTTTGTTTCAGCAAATCCGAAAAAAGAGGTCGAGGAGATACCTGCTACGAGACGCGATTATGGCGAACCAGTAGTTGATACAGGCGTGGTTTCGTTTGGTGGACCTTATGGAAACCCATTCGGAGGCCTTTTTGAGAACATTGAAAGTAAGTAAAAACATTTACACTTACCGCGCACGCGACAAAAATTTCGGAATTTTTTTTCGCTAAATCTTTCGAATTTCAAATATTAACTATATTTGATGTTTTATATCATGAAAATCTACTTTCGGTATCTCGGGAACTGCAGCACCGATTTTGATGGAAGATGGGCATGTGGCCGTAGTAGTTGTAATTGCATTTTCAAAATTGGTTCAATGGTCTCAGAGTGAAGACCTGAAAAACAAAAAAAAGTTCAGATAATTCCAAAACTTCATTTTTGTAAGTCTCAAAAATGTTTAGTCAACATTTTTTTGGGGGCTCTATAATTCCGATTTAACGTAAAAACGCTCATTTTTGACTCTTACAGGTGTTATGAAAAGGATGAGACAACAAATGGAAACACTATTCAGGAATGTTCCTGGATTCAGAAGCAATGCCACGTCATCGGAAGAAGACGATGGGTTCCCTACTTTGTCTGGAGGTTTCCCCATTCCCGCTTTTCCCGATCTCGATTTGGGCAAGGGCAATACTACATCCGTTACTAAGGTATGCCTTTAGGACATGGGTTTTGTTCAATTTATTTGCAATGCAACTTCAAAAATACAGTGGCAGTAATTATTATAGCATCTGGAATGTAGTTTTCAGAATTTCTAGTATAATTTTTGTATCTATACCACAACACAAATAGTTCAGTTTGAATATGTTTTTTGCATTAGTTTTTGCAGTCTTTTTGAATACCTGGTGTCTACCAAACTAAAGTGTTTGATAAGTATACAATGATACTAATTGAGATCTCAACCTCGCTGGAAATGATAGATGCTAGGTTTAAAGGCCACTCTTGAAGAAAATTTCCAAAAATCTGACTTTCTTCAATCTTGAGACAAACCTATTCCTTCGTCTTTTGCTGATATCAACAGGAGTCTCAAAAATTTCCATTCTCATACTCTAAATAGGGTTCCACAATACTTCAGCATTTTTAGAGAGACTAAAATTTTAGCGATTTTTAATGGCTATATTCGAAATGATCGTTCCAAATCAACCTGGTTTCGTTCATTTTCATTCTTACGTATCTGCGATCTAGGCCAATACGTGTTTTATAAGTAAATCGGGTGCTTTGATCACGAATATGATGTTAATTTCTGACTGAGATCGACGTGAGACCTCAATATTTTGAGTTCAGGGCAACTTATCAATTTGACCTTGAAATGACCTCAAATGTTCTTCAAATGACCTGATACGGACAAACCGACCTCAGGTTCGCACTCAACGGTCCCAAAAACCTACGTACATTTCTAGTAGATTTGATTTCGCGGCATTTGACATTGAAATGACCTTAAAACGCCCTTCAAATGGCCTGATATCGACGAACTGATCTCAGATTCAGACTACGACCCAAACAATCCTATAAAATGCCAGATACCTGATTACTTACTTCGTAAACTTATAGTTGTTGAATGGATTTTTCGAAATTTCCCCTAAAACTGACCTTGAACTGACTTTTACACTGACCAGGAGGTGGTTGCTATAAGTTTTGTAGGTGATCATATCCTTTAGTTGTTTTTTACAGTGAGAGTGTTTTCAAAGTTGATTTGTTTATTTTAACAGCTTGAATATAAATCGTCAAAAGAACCAAAAATCACCTATATACGTTGTCTGCAAAGTTGGGGTTTGCCTTTTCAAACATCACTACGCTTGATATAACAAAGTTAATGTGTAGTGAAACGTGAGCGAACAACTAAAAAAAAAATGAAAAAGTACTCTGTTCAGTTGAATTGCAATTCCAAGTACGGCTCTGTCGTAAAATACGTATTTACATCGTAGGCGTACATCATAAGCTGTATGCTGGCGCTGGCGCTGTGGACGTGATCGAGGGATAGGACAGGACCGGCTTCGGTTTGGTTTACGTTTGATTGAGTTTATAGGGGTATATGATACTAAGAAAATCCAATATAGTAAATGCGGTAGAATAATTGTTTTATAAACTATTTTCTGTGAATATGTACCAAGACTATAAAAAGCCCCATAAAAGTAATTTGTTTTTTTGAAATTTTTGAAATAATATATTCATACTGATCCTCAAACTTTAGTTTACTATCAATATATATATATATATAGGTGAAAAATTAAAGCTTCCGCCTTTTGTTGGGTACTTCGACAAAATTTAAGCAAAGATGACTCTTTATACTTTTTTTTAATTCTCTCTAGCTTTCAATGGACTTTGCCATCATCATCAGTAGCTGCAATTACAATGATAACAGTAGCAACAAAAGTGTAAAATGAATTTAAATTGAATCAACTTACAGTAGTATGTGAGGATGTTGCTAATTGTTGTTTTCGTAGTACCCAACAAAAGGCGGAAGCTTTAATTTTTCACCTAACTGGTCTAGACGACAATGACCACGTCTCAAGTTATATACAGGGTGACTTTGAAGTTGAGTCATTAATTTTCAGATAATGATTGTAGAAGGAAGATCAACCAAAATATGTGTGTAAAAATTAAAAAAAATAAAAAAAAATTTTTACCTTGTTTTATAAAGTATCCTCCCGACAAGTATTTCAGTGCGGACCTGTATTTGATCGTGAGGTCCCCTGTTATTTCTTAAGTCAAATGATTCACGAGCCCGTTGTACTACATTAACAAAGGCACAAGGGGTTGGTTGCACTCGATTGGGAAACCGATCCGCATAAACATGTGCCATTTTTTATTTCGTTTGAGCCACGCAACAGACACGATTCACACGCGACTGACACTGACTGTATGTATAACTGAACTGAATAAAATAAACATCGTTCCAAATTCTTTCGCTTTTTTGTTTCCGATGCGATTAACCGATAAGGTGGATTATATCCGTTGTTGCCAAACATGAGTACATGATATTATTGAGACAGGACGGTACTCAAACTTCCAAAGGGCTATAACTTTGTTACTTTAATTTTACCAGAAAAATGGTAAAGGAAAAAAACATTTCTTTTGATCAGATCTACTCACTGTTAAAATAAATGACTCAACTTCGAAGTCACCCTGTATATATACCTAAATATTGAATTGATTCTGATTTAAACCTGCGCGCAAACTTTCACATGGAACATAACAAACACTAAAAATCGTGTATTTTGACTGTACCAACTTTTTCCAGATAATCAACGGTCACAAGGTGGTGATCAACGAGACGGAATACTCCAAAGACGACGACCTAGGTGGCGCTTTCTTCCACGTGCGCGTCATCGACGTTCGTCCCGAGGACGAAGGCAAAGCCAGCGGAGAAACGAGCACGACCAACACCAAAGACGTGGAACCGCTTTCCGGACAGGATAGCAGGGAGAACGAAATCCCGCAAAACAGTCGCGAGGTTGGTGCACCGAGGCCGGAAAAGATAATCAAAGCTTGATTACTTGTTGCATGACTTACATATTTTGCGGTGATTACTTAGACTTAGATCGTTTTGGACGATGACTTTGTTATTGATCGGCAACATGGATAGCGTCTTACAAACACTGCAGTTTTACCGCTCCATTTGTAATACCCAACACATACAGGGTGTTCCGGATTTTTTAAAATCTGTCTTAAAGATTTTTTCCTGACTATCTGACCTTGACTGTCAAGGTCTCTTTTAGGAAGAGTCCATTTCTTTTAAATGAGAGATACTGTCTTTCAGACTCCTGGTGTTCGAGGTTATTTCATCGATTAGATGTTTGACCTTCACCGTAACCTTCAAATGTCAAATTTTTTGGTGGTCAAGAACTCGTCTGAACATAAACTGTGCGTGTGTGTCTTACAAACACTCCAGTTTTACCGCTCCATTTTTAATACCCAACACAACAGGGTGCTCCGGATTTTTGTAATTTTGAAAACTACGTGACTAAAAGAATATTTCCTGACTATCGGACCTCAAATTTAACCTTGAGTTTCAAGGTCTCTTTAAGGAAGACTCCATTTATTTTAAATGAGAGAGACTATTTTTCAGACTCAAGCTTTTCGAGGTTATTTCATCGATTAGATATTTGACCTTCACCATAACCTTCAAACGTCAAATTTTTTTGGTCGTCAATAACTCGTCTGAACGTAAACTGTGCCTATGTGTCTTACAAACACTGCAGTTTTACCGCTCCATTTTAAATACCCAACACATACAGGGCGTTCCGGATGATTTAAAATCTTGAAAACTATGTGCCTAAAAGATATTTTTCCTGACTATCTGACCTTAAATTTAACGTTGACTTTCAAGGTCCCTTTAAGGAAGAGTCAATTTCTTTTAAATAAGAGAGTCTTGTCTTTCAGACTCATGGTGTTCAAGGTTATTTCATCGATTAGATATTTGACCTTGTCCATGACCTTCAGAGGTACGCATTTTTTTAAGATCAAGGACTCATTCGGACGAGAAATGTTCCACTTTATCTATCGCTTTATCGCTATACTACGCCCCCCGCTCTTCAGTTTTGAATCGCCGCAGCCAACATCTCCCCCGCCATCCGATCGTCAAGTTTCAAACGCTGAACAAATGTAATTCTTCATATTAGCAAACTTCCAATAAGTGTGCATCATCCTGCCCCCAATAAACTTCCGCTAACTCGACCCATGGTCAAAAATATATTTAAAAAATTAAGTTAGCCGTGAAATGACTTTGAATGACAAGGTCAAGGTCAAATTAAGTTTGACCGGGAGAAAATCCTGCACCAATACCTGTGAAGAATTATTTTTAGACTCTTGGTTTTTGAGGTACCGGATATCTTCGGGGTAAGCCAGAGTTTCCCTTAAAATGCCACCATAGCGAAAGACGTGTTGCTTATTGAGAAATCGGTTTCACGAGTGGTAAAACTGTACAGTGTTTAGGCAGTACACTTCTGGGTATTTAAATAGCATAAGATCCATATTAAGCTGAACATTCACCTATCTGACCGCTGGATTTTTTATGAAATAAATTACTCTAAAAAAGTGTTGGTGACGGGTCTAAAGAAATCCTGGATTTTTTTAACTGAATATCACAAAGGGAAATTGGTAATGAGTATTGTTTCTTTATCTAGTAGTCGCTGATGGATTTTGCTTCCTGATTAGGCTTGCTAAAGGCACAAATGTCAAAAAAAATCTCGCTAATTAACAACGCTTCCGAGATATTGGACCGAAAAGTTTGTTTTCTGAAATGAGGTTCAATAAGTTTTTTTATTTTATTATTATACATGCACTCAAAAAGTAGTGTCGCCCAGTCAGAAGATATTTAAGTCTTGTTGTTAAGAACTAATTGCGGATACTATACATAAGTAACTGAAATATTGTTTCTTAACCAAATGTTTGCAATTATGTAAGGTTATTGATATTTGGCGCGGGACAAGAAACGATGGTAATTGAAAATTAATCATCACATTTTAGTAAAAAATAGTCTCCCAGGATTTCTTAACCTTTTGCCTCATTTGTTTAAGATGTTATTTCATCAAAAATACCTTTCGACGGTGACTGCTAAGCTTAATCAGGATCCTGTACTATTATATGCACGTTTGGACATCTCAATGTGTTGAAGGTCAACGTGATTCCTGCAAAAAATAAATCTGAATATTGATAAAATTATCCGAAATTACTTAAAATCTCAGAGAACAAAAGGCAGCCTCACTTGAACACTAAGTATGGAAGAAATAAAGATCTATTTTACAATGTTTCACTTTTAGAAGAAAAAGCTAAATTTCACATGGAAATTTGCATTTGCCACTCTGTCTGGTCATCGTTCATTTCGATATTCGAAAACATTCCATCAAGCATCATAAGGAATAAGGGATTAAAGACAAAAAAGTACTTAAATATGACTTAAGCTATTTCCATTTGGTGTGCGATATATTCCTTATGATGTTTTGTAAAATAGGCTTTTATACCTAAAATAGTTGTGGTTAGAGCTGTAGATAAAATCCAAAGAAATATTTTCAAAATCGGTGCCATATAATGCCAGTAACAAAAGTCATATTATTTTAATGTCGCATATGCTAACGTCATATCTTTTTAGCATTGGATATAACTAAGAGTGTAACTTTTGGGTCAGTCGGTGTATCAAATTAACAAATAAATATAGAAACATGATTTCGAGAGATTAATATATCATTTTTGTGGAGGATTCTAATCACAACTTACAACGGCAAGAGGATTTTGTTTTGTGCAAGGTTATGAAATGAACATTTATAATATCATAATTAATAGTCTGTAATGACCCTTAACAAAAGTGCCTTTTATTTAAAATTGCCATCGATTTTTCACAATTACACAATTATGATATGTCTAATAGATAATCTTGCACCATACGCTGATTGCTCTAGCTCTTACTACTTATTAACATTTTACAGCAACATAGATCATATATTTTAATATTAATCTACCGGACATTTATTGTACATTTACTTTTAGTCTGTATTATATAGATTTTACATTTTTGTCATACTTGTATATGAATAAAGTTTTTTTGCTCAAAATAACATTTTAATATCGGCTCAGACGCTTATTATAACCAAAATATACATTATGAAATGATTATACTTACAGCTAGGAGGTCGATGCTTTTGCTTTTTTTAAATTGCTTATTTGCTTCTAAACTAACATTCATCTATAATGCATCCATCATATTTCCTAAGGTGCTAACGACTAACGTAAATATTGTTCCTAGAGCTTCATACTTTTATATTTATCCTCGAGGCGATTTAAAAATTGAGCTTAATTCTGTTGACTCGATTTTTAACCGATATATGAAATGTAGTTTAGAATTTAATTTAAATTTTTTTTAACCTTCGCCCGTGAACTGCAGCTGCATCATTATGCTACTTTCAATTCCTCTTTAATTTGTAGAATAATGATCCAGTACGACTCTGCATTTCGCATGTTTCGACATTGATTGATATATTCTACTAAAAGTTTCCCAATTCGGTTGAAAGGCCTGCCTTTTTACAACTATATACGTGCCGACCACCGTCTTTAGGCGCCAACGTTGCCATATACTAAGTGACATATAAATCCGAACACCCAGTTTAAATGGTTTTATTTTAATAAAAGTTTTTGAATGTATTTATCTTACTGTAAATAACAAGTGCAAAAATTTTCAGCCTTATCAGTTGGACATTCCGGTTTTTATACTGCTTTTTTTTAATTCACTAACGCTCTAAAAATGAATATTTCAGCCGCAGTAAAGAATCAACGTTGGCGGATTTTGGTTCTTGACATCCTTTACGATCGGTTACGATGCCTAGAGTACGGAGACCTATACGATTTTGTCAACTTAGTGAGTTTGATAGGGGCCGTATAGTGGGACTTCGGGAAGCTGGACTTTCTTTTCGGGCAATTGCAGTTAGAGTGCAAAGAAGTGTAGACACTATGGTTAGGTGTTGTCAGGCATGGCTTCGAGAAGGCCGTACGCAAAGAGCAAGGGGCACTGGACGCCGCCGTAGAACAACAGATCGTGAAGATCGCCGCCTAAGATTATTGGCCTTAAGGGACCGTTTCTCCACTACCAGGTCCATTGCAAATGAATGGTTTGCAGAGCACGGAAGACCTATTGGCATGCGAAGTGTTTACCGACGAATAAGAAGTTTTGGCTTGTTTTCATACCGGCCACACTGGGTCCTCCCTTTAACTCGAGAACACCGACGTAATCGCCTTGAGTGGTGCAGACAACGGTCACTCTGGGATCAGGAATGGAACAGTATTGTCTTTAGTGACGAGTCTCGATTTTGATTAGGCATGCACGATGGTCGTGCCAGGGTTAGAAGGCGACGTGGTGAAAGGAGGAATCCACAGTTTTTTGTTGAAAGACATGTTCATCACACTGTTGGAGTTATGGTTTGGGGTGCTATAGCTTATGGTTCCAGGTCACCTTTAATCTTCATCAGAGGTAACATGAACGCGCAGCGTTATATCCACGAAGTTCTAGAACCCCATCTTTTACCCTATCTTGACACCCTGGCAGATCCAACTTTCCAACAAGATAATGCCCGACCACATGTTGCAAGAGTCACAATAGACTTATTTCAACATAATGATGTCACATTGTTACCATGGCCACCAAGATATCCAGACGTATCCCCAATTGAGCACGTGTGGGATATGATGGGTAGGAGATTGCTCAATTTGCAACGTCCTCCTCAGACTCTAGAAGCACTTCGAGAGGAGTTGTTGGTTGCCTAGAATGAGATACCACAGGAGGACATTGACCACCTGATCAGTAGCATGCCTAGGCGCGTTGGAGAATGCGTAGCACATCAGGGTGCATCCATACATTATTAAAGGTCAACGGGCTTTAAAGCAGTGCAATCATTTTGAAATTTTTATCATTTACTTATTATGCTTCATTAAGTACTTATACAAAATTTTATTAAAGTAAAACCATTTAAACTGGGTGTTCGGATTTATATGTCACTTAGTATATATACGTGCCGACCACCGTCTTTAGGTGCCAACGTTGCCATATGTTATGGAATTGCCTTTTCAATCGTTGAGAAGTACGAAATCTTAGGAACGATTGCCAGGAAGGTTGAGGTGTGATGCTTCCTTGGAAGCTTCATACAGCGTGTCCCAGAGGTAGACGTTAAGCCGAAAACGGAGGCTAGGCCAACTCATAATAATTATCAGAAACTAAGTCGTGTACGTTTCAAATTACAAGCTTTAAAAAAATCGAAAAAATCCAAACTTTGTGATGGTCTTCTAGTTCCCATTACTACAAATTTCAATTTTTTCTTAGACAGTATCAATTCGTCACTCCGAAAAAATTGAAATCTGTAGTAATGGGAACTAAAAGATCATCACAGGGTGTAGATGTTTCCGATTTTTTTTCAAAGCCTAGAAAAGTGCACGACATATATTTTTTTATAATTTTCTGGTAACTATTATGACTTGACCTGTCCGCTGCTTTCAGCTTGACGTCGACATACAGGACACCCTGTATGTTTCAGAATAAACAATTTTCTTTGTAAAGAAAATTGACAGAACGCCATGTTTTTCTGTCCAAATAAAACCCCATATCGAGGACTTGATGTTAAAAGACATTTTTTTTAAGTCGTTAGATTTACCATTTGTTCACGAACTTAATTTTTCTTAGGATGTCAAGAAAATGTATCTCACCATATTTATCCCTACATCAAGGATTAGGGTGAGACACCAAGCCCTCGATATACGTTTCGGCCACCACGGTGGACTTCTTCGTTCTTTCAAAGTACAGATCAGTGTCAATGACAGTATCTGTCTCTCAGGTAACAGTTTTTTTATTCACACACACCCTACATAACAAATGAACTGGAAGACAAATATAAAATATATTGACATTGATCTGTGCTTTGAAAAAGGTCTCTGTGGTGGCCGAAGAGAATAAGTTTGAGATGATATATTACGGAAAACTGAGTTTATTTTTATTACTCCTAAAGGAACTACTGCGAACACGGTTCTGACGATGGAAATTGTACTTGAGCATTTAAATACAGCATAGGGTTGGGTATCTTTTTGGAGAATACATTAATCAATAATTATTCCGGTATACAGGGAAAACCAAATTTGTTTGACGGCTTGAGTTCAATGAGTACGCGAGAAGTGTGAATCAACACAAGTAAGAAAGAGATAGATGCCGACTGAAGAGCGAAGGTCATCACCACATTGCCTAGACACGATGACACAGAAAGTCGTGGAATCTGCCGCGTTGCCAATGTCTATAATAGGTTAGATAACTTTCAAAGCCCAAGAAGGAGGTCTGTTCGAATATTTAATATTCTGTTTTCATTTTGATTAAAATTATTTTAATTTGGATGCGAATTAGTGTTTTAAACTGAGTTATTGTTAAATTTTGCGACAGATTTCGGCATAGCTAGGCAACGCGGTGAAGAGCTTCGCTATCCAGCCGGCTTCTATCTCTTTCTAACATACGTGTCTATACACACTTCTCTCTCGTACACATTGAACTCAATCCGTCGAACGAATTCTGTTTTCACTGTACGCAAAAGAATACTCCCGAATCACACTGTGTATGTACCATATCATGATCAATGTTTCACGCTTCTTATTTTTATACCTGCACATTTCACAGCACTGCACTCTCTGTTACATTAGGCTAGTCGCTTCCAAAACCTTGAGACATTTGACGAAGTAGACGCTCTCGAACCGTTCGACACCAACGAATTGTCCGAAGGTCACTCCGAATGGCAACATCAAAATTCGCTCCCCAACCATCTACCGATCGATCTGTCGAGGGACACGTACGTGAACCAGCTGTTGGCTCAGAAGGGGGCCCCTAGGAACCCGGACGCTGAAGTTTTCGATGTCAGGCATCCCAGGGATACGAGGCGGTATTTCCACAGGCGGAAGTGATACGAAGAAACGTTGAAGCATGTTCGAGTAATGATGAACAACTTGTAAACAGATACTGTATTTGACATTGCCGATCGTACAACCTTTACCTTAGTGATATCAAATAAATAAAGAAGGAATTTATATTTGTGAGTCCGTAACTCAAAAGATATGGTTGATATTGAAACACAATATCGTAAGCTTTTTCAGCTATATTGGCCATTGTGGCAAAATGAACTGAAAATAGCGTCATCAAAGTTTGTGAGTGGGTAATCTCATTGTACAGTAATTATGGTTCTATTTTCTAAAATGGCCGATGGTACAGAAAAAGCCAATAACACAATAGGAGATAGTGGCATGAAGAAAAAAACTGTTCAGAAGTGGGATTTTAAAAGCGACAGTTGTACTTTTAAATTTAGCTTTTCAACTGTATGAAAGATGTTGTACATTTGTCAAGTCAAACAAAATATATTTTCGTTTATAATTGCTTCATCATCACTGCGAATGTACCAATTTGTTTAATTTATTTATTTATTTATTTTGTTACTAAAAAGACTGGTAACGATCGATTTCGACACTATAGCTGAACGACCTTTTTGGAAATAAATATTTTGTTTTTAAACTGTGTTTCATTTATCTCCATGTCAAAATGATTATTATAAATTATTTTTCATTATTCAATTTGTTTGAAAATGAAAACATATTTTCAAAATTACAAATTCTACAAAATAAAGCTATGAGAATGATTTTAAATAAAAACAAATATGCTAGGATTAAGTTTATGTTAGAAGAACTACAGTGGTTAAATGTAAGAAATTTCATTTGTAATTTAGATCTCATTTAAATATTCAAATTAAAAAGTCATTTATTACCACCACATTTAGAAAACTTCAAAAAATTAAATAGTCATTATCAAACCTACAAAACTAGAGGCAGTATAGATTTTCATCTGCATAATTGTAATAGTAGCATAACTAGCAAATCTGTATTTCAAGAGGGCGTATTTGAATTTAATAAATTGAATAATGATATTAAACTGTTTTCCTATTTAAAAATGTTTAAGGTGAAATTAAGAAATCACTTTATACTCAAAATGCATAGTGATGTAAATTTAATAGACAAGAATGTAAAATTACAGAACATGGATTCAAAAAAATGTTTTTCACTGTATGAAAGAGGTTGTACATTTGTCAAGTCAAAATATATTTTCATTTATAATTGCTTCATCATTATTGTGAATGTACCAATTTGTTTAATTTATTTATTTATTTTGTTACTAAAAAGACTGGTAACGATCGATTTCGACACTATAGCTGAACGACCTTTTTGGAAATAAATATTTTGTTTTTAAACTGTGTTTCATTTATCTCCATGCGTCAAAGATCCTGTCAAAATGATTATTATAAATTATTTTTTATTATTATATTATTCAACCGTCTTGTTTGCAAATGAAAACATATTTTCAAAATTACAAATTCTACAAAATAAAGCTATGAGAATGATTTTGAATAGAAACAAATATGCTAGGATTAAGTTTACGTTAGAAGAACTACAGTGGTTAAATGTAAGAAATTTCATTTGTAATTTAGATCTCATTTAAATATTCAAATTAAAAAGTCATTTATTACCACCACATTTAGAAAACTTCAAAAAATTAAATAGTCATTATCATAACTACAAAACTAGAGGCAGTATAGATTTTCATCTACAGTGTTCCTATTTAAAAATGTTTAAGGTGAAATTAAGAAATCACTTTATACTCAAAATGCATAGTGATGTAAATTTAACAGACAAGAATGTAAAATTACAGAAAATAGATTCAAAAAATGTGTAAATCAATAATTATTCAAAACTGATATTGTAACATTGATTCCTAATAAATCTTCAACAAACAAAATATTAAAATGCTCTAGTAGCCATTGTCAATAAAATTAAATTTTAGCTGTATTGGCAAAAATGCAATTTAGATTTTAAAAACTGCTTGTAAGCTTATAGATCAGGTACTGGAAGAAGTATGCAAGATATGTTTTGGTTTTGTTATAGAAAGCACAGACCAAAATGATGGTTCTACTCTAAAATATCTTTTTTTTTTGGTCCAGTTTCTTTCCATGCACAGGCTATGCTGTGTCCCTAAATTATTTTTAAGTCTACAAGTATCTAATCCTCTCTCCCAGCCATGTTAAACTCACAGTTGGGCCGAACACATATCTGTACCTTCCCCATATCCAATCGAAAATGCTCAATGCCACAGGAAAATGGTGTATGCAAATATCATACAATCAGTATTTACTGTGGTCCACATCATTAATACAGTATTTACTGATGATTCCATCAGTGTCTGTGGATTTCCATTACACATCAGTAATTACTGACATATGGGATACATGGACAATATATATCAAATTCCATGATAAATACTGTCAGATCACAGTAAATCATATTGATCATGTGTTAAATTGCTTTAGTAGATTCTATGGAAGAAATATCAAAAAAATATGTAAAAAATCCAAGGAATTGAAAAACTGTTCTCATATCTGTAGAGCTACTTGTCCAATTTTAGTAAAACTTGATAACCAATACCTATTTTAATGGATTGTTTTTGTGTGCAAAAATTTTAAGTGCTTTACTAGTCCTTCAAGAATATGACCTCATTCTCAAAACAACCAGGAAACTATCCTAAAAATACTTTTAAATTGTCTTAAGGAGAGCATGCTCTGCTAGTCCCCTTAAAATTAAATTAAGTTGTAAAACTAAATGTGACCAAAACTCAAGTGCCCCAAAGCTTGACATCTCTATCGGATCCACCTTCTACCGCAGTTTGTAACGAAATATGGGTTTATGATTAAAACAATATCATCTTACAACAAAATTTATTTTATACATACAATTATTCGTCTTGTACAACTGTTGTTTTCTCAGATACATACAATCCATCCAAGAATTTACGAATATCCTTATTTTTCACTGTGGTGGATTGCTGGATAAGAGCTGCTGATCGTGAGACATCCTCCAGGGAGTTACCTTCAATGATCAGCTCATCCTTCTGTTTTGCAGAATTTGTTACCGTCACACCTGGGGCCATTTTCACCCTAAAAAAAAAAAAAACATCCATCTTACAAAAATGTTTACACATGTTAAGGTATAAAATATTCTGTACAGATTAGTTCATAAGGGATCGACAACAAACAAAGCATAAAAAACAAGAATGTTATGCTACTGAAAAAAACTGTAGCAGATTTGGCACTAAAATAATATATAGTTCCAAGATTTGAATCTTAAGCCAAGTGAATTACCAAAATAAAAAAATGTGGGATATTAAGGCTATCAACAGAAGGGACATACTGATAATGAGTACACAGTTAAAAATGCTCAGCAAGTTGAATGGAAAGGTTTTTCAAAATAGTTTTATACATGAGAAATACATCACTACTTACCTCCTGATGTATTTTTCTCCCAAGAAATTCCTAATTTCAATAATAGAGTTATTCTCCGTGGTGACACAATTGATGGGGAAGTGAGCGTATACAGCTCTCATCTTGTATTGATAGCCCTTGGTGACACCTTTGAGCATGTTTTCGACATGCGAGCACACTGTCCTGACAGCTGCGAGCTCCTTCTTGGTGCCGAACCATTTCTCTACCTTCAGGGTACGTGGGTTCACCATACGAATGTCGAGGGCGAGGTGCTTGAACGAACGTTTCAGTGTCCCTCTTGGTCCCTTCACTGTCACCAAACGGGACTTGGTGGTGACTGTGATACCTTCAGGGATCTTCACAGTCTGATTTGTCACGATTTGTTTCATGATTGTCCTAAAATCAGAAAAGATTTCGGTAAGGAAAGAACACCCAAAACATTGACCTAACCTAGACTACCAACAGCCTTGTATGTAATACGTTTTTGGAAAATATATAAGTGATATGACTGCTAAAAGTACTAAAAACTGAAAAAATGAATTATCACAGTGGATGAAAAATCATGAAAATGGATGTTTTTGGATGAAACTTTTAATATAAAAATAATGCAAACCTTTCACGTTGACGTAAAGGATCAAAAAGAAATGTCAACTGTCACTCATGATTGACATATATTACGTTGGGCTTCCAAATGCTCGAAGGATACTCGCAGCGAATAATATACTTAATCGGCGTTGCCAGCTCAATTTTTTGAACTGTACTGTGTTCTGATCATTCTGGCCAATTTCAGCTTGTCAGTATTACGAGACTATACCGTGAAAAACCATTCTGGAATAACTCTATACAAACCTTAGTTAATAACTCACTTACAATGTCTTTCATTTAAAATCCTTTCTATATGCAATTTTTCATGAATGCTCACTTAGAATTCACACAAACACAAGTTATTCCTTATGTGTTTAGGATAATTCGTCCATAACGATCATTCACATCGAACTATACCCTATTTCACGAGTATCTAGTAATATCTCAAAATTCCCCATATTGGCACAGAACACATAATAATTCTAACGGATCAGTCAACGCCAGGTATACAGAGCCGAATTTTGTTTTGGTTTTTTGTAGGCTACAGATTCATTTTGTAGTTGCTAACATCTCTTTTATTTAGAAAAGTTCATTTGCATACAAAAACAAAAGGCTATAAACAGGTTTTACTAGATTTACACCCGATTCATTATTGCCAACTTTGCAGTCTATTACGGTGGTTTGCACCACTTTGGGTTAAAGGTGAGGGTTACTTAACTCGGAGTTAGCTGTAACCCCAGGTTAAATTCGAGTAGCTTTGCACCGTCATGGTTTAACTCTGGGTTTATAAACCCCGACTTTTGGTCATGTTGACAAGTTTGGAATATAGGGATATTTCTTAGAATTAATACATTTATGGGCAATATCGCCACAAAGGCTAGTTCTGTGATAAAAGTTTGTTGATTTGTGCTGGGATTTGAAAGATTGACGTATATTTTGACATTTTAGTACTTGTGTTTTGTATTCAGTTTCTTTGCAATTTTTTCGATTAACGTTTGTGTTTGATTTGGCTGGATAAAATATTTTCAAATTATAAATATATATATTTGTGATTGTGTTTGGAAGTTGGGAACTTGAAAATATTTTTCGCTGTGGATCGACAAGTCGCATTATACAGCCGGGAGCATCGTCCACAAAGCACAGTGGTAATTAAGGACGTAACCATAAATAATGAAGAATTCGACGAGGATGACTTTATTCCTCTGGAATGAAATCTAAACAGCCCAACAAACAGTTACAAGAATCAATATTAGAGAGTTTTAAGCAGTCACAAATTTGGTTGCGTAAGCGTTAAAAGAACGTCATTTGACATTTAAGTCTTAACCTCTTTTTATCGTCAGTACGCATTGCGATGCGCAGGTATTACTCCACATTTTCATGATGCTATCCGCCTTAACACCTAGTTCAAATGAGACGTAAATTTATCCTATAGTTAGGCCTTAACTCCGAGATAACTATGACGGTGCAAAGACTAACTCGAAGTTAGCGCTAACCCTCATTGTAACCCGAACCGGTGCAAACCACCGTTACAAAAATGTCGCTGATTAGCTGTCCACCTCAGTAGACGCCAAAGCGTGACGGATATTCGTGAGATAGGGTGTGTTTAAACGCATTTTGACTATCGGATTTTCGAAAAAAATTCACTTATAGAAGTGAGTGACATAACGATCATTCGAAAACACGTATTCCTTATGTAGGCCCTCATACGTTTTTGTTGCTTCGACCAAAGATGGAGTTAAATTCATTTCGCGCATAAATTCGAGAATCCATAATAAATATTCTATATACCCAGAAAATTTGCTCAATCTGGCAACGCTATCTTAGCACGTCGAGTATGCTTCGAGTATTGTGAATCCGGTAAAGTAGCTCTGTCATGAGTCATCATGTCATACTAGATATGGGAAATCGCTTTCAGCGATCAAGAAAAATCGATGTCGAATACTCGATGCTAGCGTTGGCCTAAAAAAGCCGAATATGGAATGTCGACCTGTCGGCTCCAGAAACCCAAATAAAATGAAAAATGAGATATTAATTCATCGCTTTTGCTGCAGTACGGACACGTTGTAAAGTGTGATGCAATTACAACATTAGCAATGGAAATATTCCTAGGATTGGTTTTGGAAATTACGAATATGTGGAATTTGGATCCTGCAGTTTGCGTAAAGCAATAAGAACGTAATTTCATTAGTGTTCCCTTGAAATTCATTGAGTAAATAATCCAACTGATTAATTATCCATGGTTGTGTAGAATGTTAAAATTCGGAAGTTTGAATTGCATACACACCGTGTTTGTTTAGTGCTTTATTATCATCTATTTTGTGATAATAAAATAAACATTAGTTAACCACTGTTTGCTGCATAGGCAATTGTAAACTATATACATCGATGATAAACTAAAAATAGAAAACATGGGCACGTGTATTCTGCCGCTATGTTCGAACTGCAGAGAAAATAAACCCGAAGGCGTATCGTTTCATGGGTAAAAAGCCGTAAAACAAGCCATCCATCACGCAGCATCTTACAAGAGTTTCAAAGTCCGGCGAGTATGAAGCAATGCAGTCTCCTTGGAGTGGAACAGTGACAAGGTGTTTGCATCTAGATGTCTAAAATCTGTTTTTTGGGACCCCATGATTCATTTATTTTTATGGTATGGGCGGAGAGGGTTTTCTCAGAAAATGGTTCTGAAAGAGTGCCTTTATAAGGTATGTAATGTTTTGTATACTATATCTATGCATATGAGGCTAGCCCTCCTATGGACATGTACATAATATATTTACTCTTTGTCCTTAATATATTTTGGGTTAATAAATATTACTACTATATAAACAATGATATTTGTAAGATAAAAAGTTGACTCTTCAGCAGCTAGTAATCTAGGAACCCATGTAAGCTGTATATGAATGTTTAGGAACAGATGAGTAATTACTAAAATATTTTGTTACATGTTTTTATAAGGAATTCTAGAGGGGGGGTATGAAAGCTTTAAAAATAAACCTGCTACAGGCTCATGAACAAAAAGTTTCTTTTAGTTTAAACTCAGATTATAATATTTTTTCTATGCATTTTGTGTTAAAACATCTATTATCTGCCCAAAACTTGCTCAACCTATATTTGAGAAAAGCTGTATAATGTTCTTATCATTCAATAAAATTGGTTTTCTTGAATACCATTTAGATTATATGTATTACAATTATTTCGTAAAACAATAGAACATTTATGAAACCTTTGCTAGTTTAACAAGTATGGTCAAACATACACAAAATTTTTCTCCACTTGAATAATGGTGAAAATCCATGTTAATGCAAAAATATTATGTTCTTTTATATCAAACTATTTTCGAAACATATTCACTGTTCTACAGCAAATCTCTTTTTCATAATATGCAAATCATCAATTATTGTTAGAATGGTCTCATTCTGCAAGTATATTTTTAAAAAATAAAAAACTACTGTAAATTGTCAGCTAAAAAGAATGATTTTCAAATATGCTGTCTAGTGGAACCTAGGGACATCTCAAATGTCAAAATCTGTCAAACTATTTTGGCTTCTGTGGGTATTTTGTGTACCCACACACAAAAAGTGTTTCCTCCCTTTTGAGGCACTTTGGTAAAAAAGTGCATTTTTCAATTTACTGTTCTACAATGCTTTGTAGGAAATGATTTTCACTACTGCATGCCTAGTTTCAACATTTTTTAGCTTCCTTACACTCTTAAGAAATTGAAAAATCTAGCTTAGAAGTTTTTAAAATTTTGTTCCTTTCATTTAAAGCTTCAAAGCTTTTTTATCCTTAGCTGATATTTAATTTTAGAAAGATTCTGATTTCTCAGTGGTGTTTTTTATTCATAAAGGGGCCAAAGATCATCTAGTACACAAACCTGTGGAAATGACTCAGTTTTTATAATATACAGGGTGTCCCGAAAAAAGTGTGCAATATTCTACTAGAGGTTTCTAGAGTTTAAAATAGGAAGAAAAGTTTATATAAACATTGGTCGACAAACGTCCCCTAAGGGCGCTACGGTCTTTTAAAGGGGCTCCCTTGAAGATGGTTTTTCCTTAATATTTCCGAAACGTTCTGAGATAAAAACATAAAATTTGGTATGCTAGCCTAATTTTTTATGCTGGATTTAAAAATATTAACAATTTTAGACAGTTTTGTTTGGAAGCGTATGTAACAGGGACTCAGGTTATTTGAGCCCCAAAATTTTTGTGTGATTCTATTTTTGAAATTCAATTTTAGAATTTGAATATTTAGGGTTTTCTACATAAAAAAGGTACTCTTATTGAATATCGATAAATTGTGCCATTTTTGAATAAAAGCAAACTAAAAAATTTGTCACATGATAGGAAATGTACTGCGAATAATTAGCCATGGCAACGAAAAAACTAATTTAATAATTGGTAAATATTACATAAATACATATTTCTATTGCAACATAGCTAACATTTAGGCAAAAACAAAAGAAATAAATTTTTTCTAGGAACGAAATTGAAATTTGTTTAAAAAAGAAGATGTACAGTTGGATATACCTACTTAAAACTAGCTTTAATAATATTTAATAAGTGTTCAAATAAATTCCCATTTTGTTGGATAGTCTCAAAACAGAATTTCAAAATTTCTGTAATTTATCCCATCACCTGTGCACCTGGGTAATAAAATTCTTTCTAGAAAACTCCCTGTCATAATTTTTTGGATCATATACGAATTCAAAATCCAAAAACTGCAGCTAAAATCATCTTTTTTCAACGCATGTTCTTTTTTCTTGTAGTTAAAGTGTCTGTGATAAATAAAGATTCCGACTGTCCTGACCTGGCATATGATGGACAATGACTATTATAGGTGGTAGCAACAATACCAATGGCAGTTCAAAAGAAACGGATTTTCAAAGTGTTTGTGGGGATCCTTATCGGGATCCTCGCGTCCCACTTGTCAAATACTCGTTTCTGCAAAAACGGAGAAAAAAGAAAAGATTCACGTCCCTTGCAGCTGTTGGGCGTGGAAAATATGAGGGCGTTCAACAAGAATCTGTTGTTTGTTGGGGTTATGACGGCAGCTAAGTAAGTTAATGTCTTCAGAGTTTTTCATAAGACCATTGCTATCTACTATAATTTCATTCTTAATGCAGTACTTATATTGGAGGACTTTTAGTACAGAAAATGACAAATGTGATCCCAAAAGTAAGGTCTCCCATTTTTTGAACATCAAATATGATTTTAAGGGAGCACGTGGTTGTAGGAAATAAAAACGCGCAATTGAGAACTGAAAAAAGTTAATGTTATACATACGCTCAGTTGTCGACCGTCAAAAATGATCCCTCTTCTGCAAATGTTTGGATCGAAAATGATCACTCACCCACCCTATTGTCCAGACTTGGCACATAGTGACTACTATCACCTGTCCCCTAAGTTGAAAGGAACCTTCTAAAAAAATAGGCGACCTTACTTTTGAGGCTGTCTCCAGTATAGTGTTTGTTCAGTAAACAGAAGATATATGACTCCATTCCTGTTATGGGCCTTTCAAAATGCAAATTGTCATTAAATATCTTGCTTCAGATACCTGGATACTAGAGCAAAATCCGTATATGACACTTGGGCTAGCGAGGTATCAGGCAAAGTAATGTTCTTCAGCTCTGAAGGTTCCTACAGTGACCATGTGCCTTTGGTAGCGTTACCGTTTGTAGATGACAGCTACCCACCACAAAGAAAATCGTTCATGATGTTGAAGTATATCCACGACCATTATGCAGATCAATACGAGTGGTTTTTAAGGGCTGATGATGATGTATATATGAGAACTGATAAGTTAGAGGAACTATTGAGGTCTGTGGATAGCAGGAAACCATGGTTCATCGGTGAGTAAGAAGATAAAATAAGAATTGGTTGTAGAATATATAAAAATAATCAAAACATCATCTTTGTTTTTACAGATTTTTCAGGTTGCATAAATTTATTCAAAAAGTGGTTTATTTTTGTGCACGAGGTTTCTTTCCGATTTTTATAAATTACTGAATTTTTTAAGGTCAAACGGGTAGAGGTAACAACGAAGAATTCGGCCAGCTGTCCTTAGATAGCGACGAAAATTTCTGTATGGGTGGCCCTGGGATAATTCTAAGTAGAGAAACGTTGAAAAGGGTGGCCCCGCATTTAGAGTTTTGTCTTCAAGAATTGTACACTACTCACGAGGACGTTGAGTTAGGAAGATGTGTTAGAAAATATGCTGGAATCTCCTGTACATGGTCTTATGAGGTACCTGTATCTGTCAATATTTTAAAGAACATGTTCTAGCCATATTGGACAATGCTGTATATACATCCAAGCATTAGATCATTTGTAAAGAACATTAACCACTAATAAAAACGCTGCAACTGGACTGGAGTTTTTGCATTAGAGAGGCTATGTAAAAGTTCTCTATGTAAACGAAAACATTTAAGGTTTGCGCTAATAGCAACACTGATGTTAACATTCTCTTCTAGATGCAGGTGATATTTTATCACAACCAGAGTGGTGAGTCGGCATTCAGCAGTGATCTCAAACAAAAAGAAGTGCATAGAGCCATCACTTTGCATCCAGTCAAAAAGGACAGGCATATGTACAGGCTTCACAAGTATATCAAAGTAAGCAGCTATATTTTTATTATTCATAATTTATCGTAAAATTAGAGGATATTTGCTCAGCTTTCGTTCGTTGCCCCACCTGAGATCAAGCCTAGACCATGCTGATGAGTTACCAAAAAGCACGAAACAGCTGTCCTAATATTAGTAGTTTGAGCTTCTTATCTTGCTCTGTAGGTCCTATTATCCTTATCCTTATTCAATCTCATCAGTAACTTGGTAATAATTCATTTCAGGACATATGCTTATAAGAACCTTTTTCTTATGTGTTTTCTGCTTTAAAAATATTGTCATTGTTTTTTGGAACACTGTATATATAACTGATACACGCAGATATTCTTTTAGGGTTTGAATATCCAAAGGCTGCAGCAGTCTAGTCTAATACTGCACCGAGACATGGCCGCTTCAATGAGTGAACTCGGGTACCACGTTGATAGTCTGAGCAACGTCGAACTAGCACCAAATTTGTCGCTGTTTCCTGCTAAAAAAGGCACTCCAGGGTACCTGGGTGACACCAATATATTGGGTAAATAATCTCATATTTATCAAGGTTCCCGATACATGTATACTTTATCTGAAGTCACTTGAAATAGCATAAAAACCTTTGGTCGGCGCGTCCTTTGTAATTTCATGACGTATCATAGGCGTGCGGTCATTTATTTAGAACGATAATAATAATGTTTTTATATCACAATAAATGGATTTTACTATCTTCTTATTTTTTTGATTTGGGATAACAAATACTTATATTGGGAGTTTAATTTATGTTGACTGAAAGTTAAGAAATGGAAAAATTACAGAATTCCAACGTTTGACATAGGCAAATATTTACATAGCAGGTAGGTATATAAAAAGGTATATAAAGACTTACATTATAGGTATTTATATATCATCCTCGCCTTCGGAGCTGTCGCTAGAGTCATCTTGTAGAGGAATTACAACGGGATTTACAGGAGGCAAAACACAATATTCATTTTCTTTTTCAATAATATGCCTAGAACACTGCTTCCATAGGTCTGTGGCAGCAATATGAGATACTGCATCTCTTATTGTGGCCAATAGCGATTCACTTAATTGAGGGGTTTGATTATGTTTTCTTACTTTTTTTTTAAAGCAGCCCAGACCAACTCAATCGGGTTAAAAATGCAGTAATAGGGAGGTAGACGTAATACTTCATGGTCATTTTGTTGAAGCAGATTGTCAACAACATACTCTTTTTCAAATTTTTGTGTTTTAATAAGATCCAATAATATGGCTTTGGTTGATTTTTGTGGTATTTCCATTCCCTTATCCTTCATAAAATCAATAATGTCTTGTTTTTTTGTGCCTGTATTCGGAATTTTGTTTTTCTGTCGGGAATGGTATGGCGCATTGTCCATAATAATCACTGAATTTGGAGAAATGTTTGGTATTAACTGCTGCTCTATCCACTTTTCAAATAAGTCGGAGGTCAGGTCCTCATGATAGTCGGCACATGATTCTTTGATATTTTTGGCAGATAACAGCAAGGCATTAGGTATAAATCCATTTTCACTGCCAGCATGGAGAATAATGATTCGTTTTCCACGGTTGCATGGTGCATTTAAAATGCACTTGTTGCTGTCGTCAACCCAGCCGTACTGCACAACATCATGGGTATCATACCACGTTTCATCCAGGTAAATCAGATTTCTTTTCTGCTCTCTATAGATTTTAACTTTGTGCAAAAATTCTTGGCGCAATTCAACGATTCGAGACGACTCCATAATCACCATTCTTTTATCTAATTTTTTGTATTGAAAACCACACAGTTTTACAATACAGTGCAGTGAGTCTAAGCATTTGTAATTATAAAAATCTTCAGGATAATGTTTTAATTTATCCCGTATCATTTCCAACGTGGGCACCAAATTTTCTTTATAAAATCCGTATATTATACGATGAATATCTTCCTGAAAACCCACGTCTATTCTTTTTAATTTTTGCCCTATGCGCTTTCTGTGGAAGGAATGGTTGACTACATCTCCCCTTTTTATAACCCGATAAATGGTAGACCGACTGATTTTTGTCAGGATACAAATTCTGTTTAAAATTTGATTTTGCGAGGAATCTGGATTTTCGTTTTTCAGACAATCATACATATTTAGGATTACTCTTTGGGTCTGTTCCTCTAAATCTTTATGAACGAATTCTGCCTGCACAGGTTCATCAACCATCTCCTCGTGGCTTGGAGCATTTTCCCAAGGTCTCCAAAGAGCCATATTTAGGACACACAAGAACAATCAACACAACAATTAAATCAACAAGTAAACTGAGTATTCAAAAGTCAAAAACACACAAACTAATAAAATCTATGAAAAAACACGGACAGACTAAAGAAAACACGTTTATTCACCGCTACACGGCACTGGCTAAACTGTTTCAATTTTCAGTAGCCACCTGCACTTGTTCGGAGCTCTAAAATACACGCTTTCTCATTGGTTATGTCCACGCATAGGCGTGCTTTACTCCACGTGGACCGGTGAAACTGCCTTTGATCTTATACGGGGGATATTTGCTGCGAAATTTGGAGATTTTTGCAGCAACAGAGCGTGTTAAATATAGATATATAAAACGCACCCGGTATTTCACAGTGTTTCAAGTGACTTCAGATAAAGTATACATAGTTCCTTTTTTACAGGGGTGCCCACTAAGCTAAACCGGTACACGCCACATACATTGGAGAATGTTCTAGAATGGGAAATGGTATCTAAAACTTTGTACTCGCATAGAGATTTGAATCCTAGAAAAAGGATAGGATCGTCTCTGAAAGAAGGACTGAGCGACGTCACGAGAGAGGTAAGCTATTTATATTTTTCCCTTTACCCTTACCATTTCTTCCTTTCTTGTTTTACTTCCAATGTCAAAACTGGCGAGGAAGTATCGTAATCGCGAAAAATTTCGAAATTGAGATGTTAATGGTTTTTGAATGTTAAACAGGGTAGCGAATATATATCTGACTGATTAAAATTAATTAGGTCGCGTCGTAGTAGTTGTTTAGAGCATATGTCTCATCATGTAGCGCTACACGATCTCACAACGCGTCCGTATTGTTAAAACGTTTATTTAAATAATGATTGTTGCAACGATCCGGCAGCTACGACAAGATTTCAGTCAAAATAATGCGCCCAGTGTCAACACCATTCATTAGATGGTACGGAAATTTGAACACACAGGTGAAGTTAAAGACTTGCCAAGGTCGGGCCGTTTCCGCACTGTTCGTACTACTGGAAAATATCGAGAGTTCGTGAAAGTATAGTAGAGCGCCCTAAGACGTCTACCAGACATCGTTCTCAAGAACGGGGTATTCGTCGCACGTCATTATGCACTATTTTAAAAAAAGACTTAAGACATAAAAAACTCAAGAACTACAGCCTAGTGACCATGAAAGTCGCCTACAATACGGTCATGCAATATAGCGGCTTAATACCCAAAATAACTAAATTTTTACCGACAACTGAATATGATTGATGAAGCCCACTTGGATATGAACTGATTTGTTAATAAGCAGAATTGTCGTATCTGGGCATTAGAGAACCCTCGTGTCATCCATCAACGACCACAACATCCTCGTCGAGTCACAGTTTGGTGCGGTGTTTGGTACGGAGGTGTCATTGGCGAGCGCTACCGTGATATGGTATAAAACTTTCTGACTCCTCAAATGGAACAAATTTACCTGCAAAGCATTTGGTTCCAGCAGGATGGAGCAACTTGTCACACAGCTACGGAAACAATGAATCTTTTGCGAACAATATTTCCGGGACGTTTAATTTCTCGATTTGGTGATGTCCACTGGCCACCAAGGTCACCGGATTTAACGGCTCCTCACTTTTTATTCCTCCCAAAACCTACCAAAAAGTGATGAAAAATGTAATCAAGAAGGGCTCAGGTTTGCGAGGCTTCTAGAGGCGGACATTTGTCTGATATTATTTTTCATACATAATTTATAAGTTTCAATAAAAGATTAAGATGAAAAAAATTTACGTATTTTATTTCATTTCACAAATATTCAGGATACAAACCAGTCAGTTACATATGGGCCACCCTGTATGACACCTACATCTGGTTGCCGGTCTGTCCGACAATTTAATAATCGCCTATAACTCGAGAAAATTTTCACAGAACGTTACTGTTATGCCAAAGATGAAAAAGCTTTGTAGTTTTTGAAAATCGGTCTAGTTATGCCGAAAACATGTAAAAAATTAAAATCGCTCAAACAGTGCATTTTTCTTTATTCTCAAACATGGTTTTTTCCAGGTCATGGAACTGATAAATTCTTATTCGAAACAACGAGGACGTGTGATAGAATTTAAGGAAATACTTTACGGATATTGGAGGGTGAATCCCATTTATGGAGTTGATCTGATATTAGATATGTTGCTAGTTTATAGAAAATATAGAGGGCATAAAATGACAGTGCAAGTTAGGAGGCACGCATATGTTCAACAGACGTTTACAGGTACGATTATGTTTTTGCTCAACCCCTGATTCACGTTTCTATATTTTCTTTTGGTAATAGAGAATATGCATTTTTTTCGTATTTTCTATCGACTGTTTGCGTTAATATACTAAGTGACATATAAATCCGAACACCCAGTTTAAATGGCTTTATTTTAATAAAAGTTGGTGAATGTATTTATCTTACTGTAAATAACAAGTGAAAAAATTTTCAGCCTTATCAGTTGGACATTCCGGTTTTTATACTGCTTTTTTTTTAATTCACTAACGCTCTAAAAATGAATATTTCAGCCGCAGTAAAGAATCAACGTTGGCAGATTTTGGTTCTTGACATCCTTTACGATCGGTTACGATGCCTAGAGTACGGAGACCTGTGCGATTTCGTCAACTTAGTGAGTTTGATAGGGGCCGTATAGTGGGACTTCGGGAAGCTGGACTTTCTTTTCGGGCAATTGCAGTTAGAGTGCAAAGAAGTGTAGATACTGTGGTTAGGTGTTGTCAGGCATGGCTTCGAGAAGGCCGTACGCAAAGAGCCAGGGGCACTGGACGCCGCCGTAGAACAACAGACCGTGAAGATCGCCGCCTAAGATTATTGGCCTTAAGGGACCACTACCAGCTCCATTGCAAATGGATGGTTTGCAGAACACGGAAGACCTACTGGCATGCGAAGTGTTTACCGACGAATGAGAAGTTTTGGCTTGTTTTCATACCGGCCTCACTGGGTCCTCCCTTTAACTCGAGAACACCGACGTAATCGCCTTGAGTGGTGCAGACAACGGTCACTCTGGGATCAGGAATGGAACAGTATTGTCTTTAGTGACGAGTCTCGATTTTGTTTAGGCATGCACGATGGTCGTGCCAGGGTTAGAAGGCGACGTGGTGAAATGAGGAATCCACAGTTTTTTGTTGAAAGACATGTTCATCACACTGTTGGAGTTATGGTTTGGGGTGCTATAGCTTATGGTTCCAGGTCACATTTAATCTTCATCAGAGGTAACATGAACGCGCAGCGTTATATCCACGAAGTTCTAGAACCCCATCTTTTACCTTATCTTGACACCCTGGCAGATCCAACTTTCCAACAAGATAATGCCCGACCACATGTTGCAAGAGTCACAATAGACTTCTTTCAACGTAATGATGTCACATTGTTACCATGGCCACCAAGATCTCCCGACTTATCCCCAATTGAGCACGTGTGGGATATGATGGAGATTGCTCAATTTGCAACGTCCTCCTTAGACTCTAGAAGCACTTCGAGAGGAGTTGGTGGTTGCCTGGAATGAGATACCACAGGAGGACATTGACCATCTGATCAGAAGCATGCCTAGGCGGTTTGGAGAATGCGTAGCAAAATTTTATTAAAATAAAACCATTTAAACTGGGTGTTCGGATTTATATGTCACTTAGTATAGATGTTTGTGACATAACCTCAAAATAGAGCGCTGACACGGAGAAGTAGAAAACTATGACAATCAAGGAGGCCATAAACGCGCCCTACAATTGTAGGGACGACTGACGATACGGGCCTAAGTGGTATTTGACATTTAATTATCTTTTCAGGAATATTTGTCAGAGAAGTGAGCAATACTCATCATCCATCCCAGCATCAACTTTCTGACGCCAAACATCTGCCACTACATAAAAAGATTGTACACGAAATACTGTCGAAATTAAACGCAAAATTGCCACTTTTGGGCAAGTCCGGTGCTGTGAACAAAACAAATATCAACTTTATCCTACCTCTTAGCGGACGATATGACGTTTTCAAAAGATTCTTGGCACATTACGAGCAAATGTGCATTTTACAAGGAGAAAACACTAGTTTGTATGTAATTTTGTACAAAGATGAAAAATCGCCGCAAGACTTCACAAACTCTTTGAAATTGGTTGACGATTTGAAATCTAGATACCAACTAGAAAGTGTTAAAGTGGTGACTCCAAATGACACATTTTCTAGAGGCCGAGCGCTACAAATTGGAGTCGATTTGTTACAAAACGAAGATTTGATGCTGTTCATAGACGTTGATATGATCTTTGACAGATCCTCCTTAGAGCGAATACGCAGAAATACTGTGATAAAGTCAAAAATATACTTTCCTATAGTGTACAGTCTTTACAATCCAAGGTTCCTGAACGGACATGGAAACCTTTCAAGAATCTCCCAGGATGTTATCGACGAAACTCGAGGTTTTTGGAGGCAGTTTGGGTTTGGTATAGTCAGTCTATACAAATCGGACTATGTTGATTTAGGAGGATTCAACTTAGGTATAAAAGGTTGGGGTTACGAAGACGTTACATTCTGTGACAACGTAGTGAAATCGAATATGAAAATTGTGAGGGCTGTGGATCCTGGCTTGATCCATGTGTATCATGATGTGATGTGTGATGAACATTTGGAAATTGAGCAGAAGACTATGTGCCTGGGCACCATGGCGAACACCATGGGTGCGTTGCGGACGTTACAAAAAGTGTTTTTGGAATATAAGAATTTGTTCAGGTAGCATCAGAATAACGTGATTCACCTAGCAGTTTAGGTACGTCGTAATAACGTCATTTTGTGACGTTCAAATAACTTCAATTTATCTAGGCCAAATACTTTATTCTAAGACGACAAAGAAACGTCGTTTTAGCTCTACACGTCCACTTTTGGAATCTCACACTTTTGAGAGTACTGACACTGCTCTTGTCATAACTGAAGCTCTAATAGTACTCTTTCCCTCACAATACAAAATTACTTAAAATGACGTATCTGTGTTGGTTGGTTGTTCAGGTAGCATAGGAATGACGTGATTTACCTAGTAGTTTAAGTACGTCGTAATAACGTCATTTTGCGACGTTCAAATAACCTCAGTCTATCTAGGCCAAATACTTTATTCCAAGACGACAAAGAAACGTCGTTAGCTCTACACGTCCATCTTTTGGGATGTCATACTTTTAGGAACCAGTACGTACACTGCTCTTGTCATAACTGAAGCTCTGTTGGGTCTCTTTCCCTCACAATGCATAATGACTTAAAATGACGCTATTTTGACGTATATGTGTTGGTTGGTTGTTAAGGTAGCATAGAAATAACGTGATTTACCTAGTAGTTTAAGTACGCCATAATAACGTCATTTTGCGACGTTCAAATAACTTATCAATCTATCTAGACCAAACACTTTATTCTAAGACCTCAAAGAAACGCCGTTTTAGCTCTACACGTTCACTTTTGGAATCTCACACATTTGGGAGTTAGTACCGACACTGTTCTTGTCACAACTGAAGCTCTTTTGATTCTCTATCCTTCACAATACATAATGACTTAAAATGACGTCATTTTGACGTATCTGTGTTGGTTAGTTGCTCAGGCAGCATAGGAATGACGTGATTTACCTAGTAGTTTAGGTACGTCATAATAACGTCATTTTGCGACGTTCAAATAACCTCAGTCTCTCTAGGCCAAACACTTCATTCTAAGACGACAAAGAAACGTCGTTTTAGCTCTACACATCCACTTTTGGAATTTCACACTTTTTGGAGTTATAGCACGTACACTGCTCTTGTCGTAATTAAGACTCTTTTGGTTATATGTCCCTCGCAATACATAACGACTTGAAAAGACGCCATGAAGTATCTGTGTTTGTTGCTTTTTAAGGTAGCATAGGAATAACGTGATTCACCTAGTAGTTTAGGTACGTCTTAATAACGTCATTTTGCGACATTCAAATAACCTATCTATCCAAACCAAATACTTTAACACGCCTAAGAAACGTCGTTTTTGGTCTACACGTACACTTTTGGAACATCTCTGTTTCGGGAGTATGTACGCTGCTCCTGTCATAACTCAAGCTATGTTAGTTCTCTATATAACGCTTTGAAATGACGCCATTTTGACGTATCTGCGTTGGTTAGTTGTTCAGGTAGCATAGGAATAAAGTGATTTACCTAGTACGTAGTTTAGATACGTCATAATAACTTCATTTGCGACGTTCAAATAACCTCAGTCTATCTAGATCAAACATCAAACACTATATTCTAAGTCGGCTAATAAACGTCGTTTCAGCTCTACACGTTCAGTTTTGGAATATTGCAGTTTTGGTAGTTAATAGGTACGCTGTCCTTGTCATAACTGAAGCTCTCTTGGTTTTCTCTGGCTAATAATACAAAATGACTTAAAATGACGTCATTTTGACGTATCTGCGGTACTAGATATTTTTCTGGTTGACACTTGTGGTTTATATTTTCAGCGATTTAAATGAAATGCTTCACGTCTCATTTTAAATAGAACACATTATGGAAGAGACGCCAAGATTTGTGCCACAATTTTTCATAATTTATCTGTATACCATTTAAATTATGTCGCGATTTATTTAAAATCAAAAACTTTTATATGCAAGTACTTTATGAAAAGATTTTCAAGTGTTAAGTCTCTACTTTACAGCCTAGGGACGTCTGTATGCCATAGGGCGGTAATATAACTTTACCGCCCGCTGTGTATAAATAAACCCATGTTAAACACAATCTAACTGTTACGGGAATAGTCAAAATTTTCAACGGAAACCCCGCATCAAAGCAGGAAATGTTACGTTAGAATGTGGTCTTGACCTCAAAGCCAAAGTCCTATCAATCTATCTCCATATTTTATATGGAAACCCCTCTATTTGTATGCCAAAATGGCAGAAAGCAAGAAATGTATTCGGAAATAAATTTTAAAATGGCCTTGAAGGTGCGTCAAGGTCATCTTTGGTAAACCTTCACAAAGCTCAAAACTGCTGTCCTTGAAGGTCATGGTGATGGTCATATAGGATGGAAAATTTCCTCATTCTTCCAATTCCTGTGTAAAAAAAATATTCGCTTGACCTTATAATGACATTGAAAGGCTCGGTCGAAGTCACAATGAATTTGCACCCTCGAGACCCTACAACATATTTGAAACTTAACAAAATATTTAGGTGGAGAGATTAAAATGGGACACCATGTATAGGTCGTTATTGCATTCCTCCATAGGTGGCGTTCACGGCGAGTGCACGTGGCGTGGACCGGCGTACCTATTTTTAATGAAATTGAATCAGATTTTTTACGTAATACCTCTGCGGTACGGTCATTTTTTGTTTCCAATTCTACTTAAAAGCTACTGTAGCTTTTTTATTTTAACCAGTCGTAGATAAAACTTCAACCTGTGTGAGATTTATGAACCATGAGTGTCAATTGGGATTAGGTATTTTTGACTGTGATTATAATCCAGTGCCTCATAATTTGTGACATATTTGACGTTTTCCTTTTAGCCTGGATTATATGTTTATATATCTATGATAGATCCTTAGAAACATTTTTAGTTTTAGAAACTGTTCAGGTATACTCATTAGTTTTTAGCAAAGTTCCAAATATCTACTGTTATTTTATTTATATTAGATATATAGGTTTAAGCACCAAAAAATCACAATAACGATAAAGTGCTGCCACATACTACATTTGTCTGCCACTGATAAGGCTTTTAATTGTGAATGCTGATATTACCCTATTTCGCAAATGTAAAAAATACTGAATTGAAACTTATATCTTGTTGATGTGCCTTGTATACATTATCCTATTATATTTTTTATAAAAATATATGTATACCATTGTTGAATTCACACTCATGTACAAGTTTTTTGGGGTACCGACTATATATTCATTGCTCTTCCAAATATTTTATGCTGTATTTTACTTGCCAATAAACGTATTATCAAATAACAAGTTTTTACTTTTTATCTACTTGTAATGGATGATTCATTTAGAGGTACGTTGTTCAAAAGTAAACACAAAACAAAGTTGTTTTTGTGTCATTTTTATCGAACATTTGTTTTTCGAGAATTATTTTTTCAAATGCTCAAAATAATATACTATTATAGTAAGTGACATATAAATCCGAACACCCAGTTTAAATGGTTTTATTTTAATAAAATGTTGTATAAGTACTTAATGAAGCATAATAAGTAAATGATAAAAATTTCAAAATGATTGCACTGCTTTAAAGCCCTTTGACCTTTAATAATGTGTGGATGCACCCTGATGTGCTACGCATTCAACGCGCCTAGGCATGCTTCTGATCAGGTGGTCAATGTCCTCCTGTGGTATCTCATTCCAGGCAACCACCAACTCCTCTCGAAGTGCTTCTAGAGTCTGAGGAGGACGTTGCAAATTGAGCAATCTCCTACCCATCATATCCCACACGTGCTCAATTGGGGATAAGTCGAGAGATCTTGGTGGCCATGGTAACAATGTGACATCATTATGTTGAAAGAAGTCTATTGTGACTCTTGCAACATGTGGTCGGGCATTATCTTGTTGGAAAGTTGGATCTGCCAGGGTGTCAAGATAGGGTAAAAGATGGGGTTCTAGAACTTCGTGGATATAACGCTGCGCGTTCATGTTACCTCTGATGAAGATTAAAGGTGACCTGGAACCATAAGCTATAGCACCCCAAACCATAACTCCAACAGTGTGATGAACATGTCTTTCAACAAAAAACTGTGGATTCCTCCTTTCACCACGTCGCCTTCTAACCCTGGCACGACCATCGTGCACTCCTAAACAAAATCGAGACTCGTCACTAAAGACAATACTGTTCCATTCCTGATCCCAGAGTGACCGATGTCTGCACCACTCAAGGCGATTACGTCGGTGTTCTCGAGTTAAAGGGAGGACCCGGTGTGGCCGGTATGAAAACAAACCAAAACTTCTCATTCGTCGGTAAACACTTCGCATGCCAATAGGTCTTCCGTGTTCTGCAAACCATTCATCTGCAATGGACCTGGTAGTGGAGAAACGGTCCCTTAAGGCCAATACCCTTAGGCGGCGATCTTCACGGTCTGTTGTTCTACGGCGGCGTCCAGTGCCCCTTGCTCTTTGCGTACGGCCTTCTCGAAGCCATGCCTGACAACACCTAACCACAGTGTCTACACTTCTTTGCACTCTAACTGCAATTGCGCGAAAAGAAAGTCCAGCTTCCCGAAGTCCCACTATACGGCGGCCCCTATCAAACTCGCTAAGTTGACGAAATCGTACAGGTCTCCGTACTCTAGGCATCGTAACCGATCGTAAAGGATGTCAAGAACCAAAATCCGCCAACGTTGATTCTTTACTGCGGCTGAAATATTCATTTTTAGAGCGTTAGTGAATTAAAAAAAAGCAGTATAAAAACCGGAATGTCCAACTGATAAGGCTGAAAATTTTTTCACTTGTTATTTACAGTAAGATAAATACATTCACCAACTTTTATTAAAATAAAACCATTTAAACTGGGTGTTCGGATTTATATGTCACTTAATATACTTGCTGCGTGTGCAAGGAAGTATTTTATTCCAGAAAAAATTCAAAATTGAGATATGCAGCCGTATTCATAAAAGAGAAGCATAGCCTTGGAAGTATAAGGTCTATAAGGTCATGTCGCTCAAGATACAAAAACCAGTCAACCTTTTACTTCTTGGAGGATATCCTCGCAAGTATAAGGTAATCATTATGAATATGAAAACAAGGATATGCCTATACTTCTACCTTTTTCTCCGAAGCAAGACCTTATGCTTCCGAGGATATGCTTCTCTTTTATGAATACGGCTCATTGTTGCCACAATATACTTTAAATATGTTGCCAAAAAACAAGTAGAAATTATTTTTTCTGGGTGTAACACTTCTAATGTCACTTAGTATATATCTCGTTAAGAGGTCATTTTAGGACTAACATTTAAACTAACTTCTCGTGCAATTTTTGTCCTTTTTTACGAGGGTTGGGCGGTTACACAAATAAAAAACATTTTACTTATATATTTTTATTTCTATTCAAAGAATACATTGTGTGTCTAAAGTCGATATTATTCAATATTTGGGAAACAGCATTGACCGAGATCAGGCGATTATTTTTGTAAGCCTTCTAAACCGTGAAACGATATCCACTAAAAAAACACCTGATCCCGGCCAAAACTTTGATAATAATGGTAATTAATATATATTACATCTGCGACAGGCTTATTCTGTATAATACAATAATCGCAGCTCTTCATTACAAACTATATTTAGAATTATTACTCGGATTTTAAAAAATTTTAATCTCTAGCGTCATATTGACAAAAGTATTCAAATGAATTCCACTCTTCCTGACAATTTTATTTTGCAGCTTGCCATATTCGCTATGTACAGGACATAACTGCAGATCTCATGACAATTTATTAATGCCAATAAACCCATGGTTCAAATGCATCCGTTTCACTTGTGAGATAGTTAAGACAAAATCACAGGCATTTTTTTGAAATTCCGGTTAAAACTATATCAAAAAACCCTATCTTCGAACTATAGTCAAATAAGTAATAAGAGTATCAACTGCCTCGTATTTTATGGGAGAAGTTATTCAACTAGATTTTTTTCATAAACTTTTGCATAGAAATTTTGATAGTGCGAAGATAAATAATCATTAAAAAACTGGATTATACCCAGAACTAGTCAAAATAGGGAGATAAAGTGTGAAAAATACGTTATCACGTTTGTCAAAGATATGAGTACCATTTTTCAAAAAAGTAATGGGAAATTCAGTGAGACTCCCAATTGAATAATAAAGCTGTTTTCTCAAAATTACAAGACTGCAAAATGAAGCTATGAGAATAATATTGAATAAAAATTAGTACACCAAAATAAAATCTATGTTACAAGCATTGCAGTGGTTGGATACAAAAAATTATATTTAAAATAAAAAATCATTTTTTGCCACAAAATTTATAACTGAATAATCATGCAAGGGGAAATATAGATTTTCATTTACAAAATTGCAATAGTAATATAACTAGTCAATCAACATTTCACAATATTAATTTAAAAAACTAAATAATGATATAAAGTCTACCTGTAATTTAAAGATCCTTAATAGAAAATTTTAGGAATATTTCATGGACAGTGAAAATGCTTGGAGATGTAAATTTTGTTTTTTTAAGTATCTGTGTTTTGTATTGTAGTTTTTTAAAAGAATGTAATTGTAGCAATAATGCTAAATAAATCTTGAATAAAACAAACATATATGAGAAATAATTTTATGATTAATATTTAATACAGTCACAGAATACAAAAAATGCGAGACTAGTGATACAATATGTAAATATATAAACTCACATAAAAAGTGAAGACAGTACGAAATTTTGTTACCGCCTGACTGATTCAAATCCCTCAAATGTGGTTATGGAAAAAACGAAGTCCGAAGATTTCTCCCATGAATGAGGATTTCGCCCCATTTAATTTGAAACATGGATTCATTGTGATAAATAGAGTGCTATGGTATCTGCGCCTGATAGTCAACACAAAACTGGGGTACATCAAAAATAAGCTCAAACACCAATTTAGGGAGAAGTATCCGTACAACTGGCAGAAACGTTGAATAAAATTTTCGGTGACCAATTCAATAAGCATTAAAAATTGTAAAAATATAACTACGTCGAAATTGGGGTTCCAATTTTTATCGAAACATTTCATAAATATTTTTAATACAAGTACAGCTCCAATATGGTAACAGTAACTTCTTCTACGGCAAAAACGAAATACGATCGAAGAAATTATAGGAAAGGTTATGAGAGCTTTGAAACATTCGAAAACTTTTATATTTATTTTGAAAATATTGACAATCCCATAGGATTACTACGACACTTGCGATTCCAGATTTTGTGGGCTCATGAGGTTTGGAAGGAAACTGAAAGCTTTGTCCTGGTGAAAATAGAAATGCATATGTATAAATGCTAATTTGAAGTCCGTTTGCGAAATCCTGTATATGAGTACTTTAAAGCATTATGAGTTTTGTTTTTATTTTTCTATATGCAATGTTACTATAATTTGAGAACCTTCTTCCATGCGTCAATAAATATGGTAAATGTCGGTACTGATGCTTCATTCTTAGATATTACTCTTCCCATGTTTTTCGCTGCACTGTTAAAAGTCGGCTAATATTCGATATTTTCATATATATTATCATAAATATAATAATCTAAAGGCTTTTTAGGCAAACTCCGGATTCGAAAATCCGGATTTATATATGTATATATAAATACTTTGCAAATACTTATACTAACTTGAACTGTATATTATCAACCTATTTCTTTCAATCTAGTAGTTTCAGTAAATTTAAAAAAATGTGGCGTTTGCCTTACAAGCTAGAAAATGATGCAGATCGACTGCTATGTTCAATAATAATCTCTTTGGACCAATAAATAGTCTAAGTAGGAAGAAGCAGATAGTTATAATTTGATATCAGTTATTCTCATAAAATCACTCTGTAGAAACCAAAATCGCTCAGATACCAGGTCACTACGGCAGAAAAAGGGAACGGAACATTTATGCTATATTCACTATTGAGTGGTATAGCAGCTAGTGAAATATTCAGTTAAAATAACTATACGGTTAATGTTGGATTTTTTCTGGATGAGTTTCTAGCATTTTTCTCACAAAAAAAATCAAGATTTTCAAAAGTTTGTTAATCTTAAAAATCCTCAAAACTTTCGGAATTATAAAAATGTTCAATAAGTATTTTCAAAATATTCAAAATTAAGAAAAATTTGAATTTCAAAGAAATCTAAAAAAGACAAAATTTTCAATATTTACAAATTTTCAATATTTACAAATTTTCAAAATTTATAATGTTGAGAAATTTTTGTTTTTAGATTTTCAATTTTCAAAATCAACAAAATTTTCAAGACTTTAAAAAATTTTT